GCACCCAAAGCCAGGACAGAAGTAGCCAGAAAGGGCCAGGGGTGGGGAGACCATTCCTGGGTTTCTAATCACGTGGGCATGAGCCACTGGGCCTGGGGGCAGGAGACCTCTGGATGGCCAAGCCCTGCTGGAGGGAAAGGTCCAGAAGGCGGGGGGGCGGGGGGGGGGCGCGGGGGGGGGAGCGGCGCAGACCTAAACACAGGCTCCCTCTTGCAGAGCTCGGGCAAGCCCCTGAGGTAGCAGCCTGTTGAAAATGACAGAGCGAGGGTGAGGCAGGCAAGGGAACCACCACAAGTGTCTGCTCCCGCCACCCTGGTACGCTGGCCAATTTGTGCCAAAGTGGAGCAAATGCCAGAAGGTCCCAGTCCCCCTGTGTGGAAGTTTTCAATTCAATTAAGCCAATTAAAGTCCGAAAGATGAAAGAGTACAGAAATGGTACATCCCCTGCCCTTTCGGCGCTATAAACCGTTCTAGGCAGCCAGCCCAGGCCGGAACATCTGTCAGGTCTGCAGAAGTGATAGAGCCGGTCACTTCTGTTCTTGGCTGTTTCAGTGGTGGCTGCTGTCCTTCCTCAGACCGACAGAGGCCATTGCTCGGACTTACGGAGAACCCAGGAAAACAAGAGCAGATGCCATTAAGTCTCTCCAGCGGCCAGCAGTCAAAGGTTGACCTTGACTTAACGGATGGCTCCTCTCTGCTGCCCTCTGGCCTGTGGCGTTAAGATGAGGGAAGTTAGCACGAATGAGCACAGGCTTCGACTTGAGAAGACCCCAGAGCTGAGTGGCCTGCTGGGGGTCGTGGGCATCCCCGCCCTTCATGCCTGCACCACACCCTCACGCTCTCCCGGAGAGTGGTTCCCCCATTCCCAAGGCTCCCAGCTCCTCCTTGGCCAGCCAGGCCCAGGGCTGACACGCAATGGGCTTCCCAGCAACTCAATAACCACGTGTCTCAAAGAGCTGTGACCCTAAGGGCAGAAAAGACATGCTCACGGCTTGTTGCAATGTCAAGCAGAAGACAACAGGCACAGTCAGGAGATTCTAGACTCAGTTTGGGCAGATTCTGGGGAACGTTCTATTGGAGTTGCCACTCGAATTTGTTGCTGGTGGAGATGGAACAGAGGGTGTGCAGGGCAGGGCGCGTGCGGATCTCGGAGCTGGCAGGCTGCTCCTTGCAGCAGGGCGATCGAGGCCGTGGGCAGGCCAGTGTAGGGCGCGGCTGAGCAGACTGGAGCTGGAAGGGCCTTTGAGGGAATGAGGCCTTTTGCTTGATGGCAGGTGAGGGGATTAAAACGGGGGGTGTGGTTTTCTGGAGGCCAGGGCAGCTTGGAGGCAGAGAGACTAACCATGCCTGAAGCGGGGAAGGTAGTGACCCACAGCTGGCTGGTGACAAACCACCCAACTGGAAGGAGACTCGTTAGATGGTAGATGGGACATGGGACCTGCTTGGTTGGGGATGAGGGAGAAGGAGCAGGCCACGGGTGCAGGCAGATGCCAGGGGACACTGAAACATGGAGGGACACAGGGCCAGCCGAGAAGGGCAAAAATGCTTTGAGCCAGGCCTCACCTCCTCACCCAGTCCCCTTATCATGAGTCACTGCGGGCCCAGTCAGCCCCAGCAAAGACAGCTCACGAGTTAGGAGCAGTTCAAGGACCCGGCGTGGCTCTGTCTGGGCTGCTATTGCTTAATCGAGGGCAGGGCCACCCTGGGGGGGCAGGGGCAGGGATTTGGAGGGGGAGGATGGAGCTGGCCTTGGATGAACCCTGGAGGGGCGGGGGATAGGGACGCTATGCTGCGGGCTTGCAAGGTACCCTGCTCCGAGGAATAGGCATTTCCGTTGAGCTACTGGGATGAGCCCACCTAACTCTGCATCATTCCCTCTGTCACCCCCAGAGCCCACCAGTGCCATGTGGCAGGAGTTGGTGTTCATCCAACTGGGTGTAGAGGCTGAAAAGATAAAAGGTTCCAAAGAAACAACATCCTTCATCTGCTTCCCTTCTAGAAAGAGCCCCTATGGAGTCCTGAGGCAGCTCCATGGGGGTCACTCAGGCACACAGCTGGCCCCTGCTGCCCTGGCCACATGTGGCGGGTCTCCGAATGCAGACCAGTGGCCTGCCTGCCAAGGGCATCAGGGTCAGGAGTGAATGCCCGCCACTCTCTTCAGCCAGTACGAGCAGGGCTGGCATGGCCCGGGGATGCTGCTCAGGGACAACTGGCTTATGTTTATGCTGGATGCCCCTGCCATCCAGCCCTAGCCCTCACAGGGCCAATTGTTTGGTCCTCTCCCAGTAACCCTGCCTGCCTAGGACCTGGATGACAGCTGAGCCCAGGAAGCCAACTCACAGGGGGTCTGTGGGCCCAACGCTGGCTGGAGCCTGTGTCTGCGTAGGTGAACCAGACCCTGCTCCTCCCTCCAGCAGCCAGCAGGCTAAGCAAGTGTGGGGGGGGGGGGTCGGGCGGGGGGGAGCTTGCAGAGACAAGGGCATGGGGCAGGACAGAGATGCCAGGTGATGCTGTCTTCAGAGGACCAAGGAGTGCAGGTGGCAGTTAAAAGCTTCCATCGCTGTCTCCAGCGGTTCCTTGGCCCGCCGAGGCCCGTGGTTAGAGGCAAGAAACCTGGGTGGCCTCATGGCTCTGCCACCTCAACTCAAATGGCAGAGTAATTCCTGCCATGCCCCACCCTGGGTGGGTGGGGTGCATTCCTACAGCACCCCCAAAAGAGCCCAGCCTGCCCCATACACCACAAAAGCTTTGCTTCCTTCAAACTCCAGCGCTCTGCTGCACCCAGGCATCCTGAGCCCCAGGCTCAGTCCCATGGCCCCCACCCTCACCCAGAATGATCCACCGAAGCTCCCGCCTTCCTCTCCAGTAGCCCTCTGATAGGTGGTGGCCCATGTCACTCATGGCCCCAAGTGATCTGCAGCCTCCCTTTCCCCACCAACCTGTCCCATTATCTGCCTTCTTCCTGCTGTCAGAACACTCTTCCCTCCAGAAGAATGGCTCACTCCACCAACTTGTTCCAGTCTTTTCTTTTTTATTTAAACATATTCCCATTGATTTCAGAGAGGAAGGGAGAGGGAGAGATAGAAACATCAATGATGAGAGAGAATCATCGATCAGCTGCCTCCTACATGCCCCATACTGGGGATTGAGCCCCCAACCCGGGCATGTGCCCTGACTGGGAATCAAACCATGACCTCCAGGTTCATGGGTCGATGCTCAGCCACTGGGCCACGCCATTTTGGCTGATCTTTTCCTAAATGTGTCCCTTCCCTGACCCCTGCTCCCTGCTCCCAACTGAAACTGCGCCCCCATCACTCTGATGCCAGTTTCTCACCAGCGGGACCTGCCATGTACTCATCTCCCAGGCAGATGGAGAGCGTGGAAATGCATTCAGTCCTATCCACCCCTCTGTCGTCCTGTCCACCCGTCTGTCCCCGGCACAGGCATGTAGTAGATGCTCAGTAAAGATTTGTCAGATGGCGAACTGAATGGATGGACAATGGGGAGATGCGTGGGTGTGGAAGAGGACGGCACATTTGTGGGTCTGCCACTTGGTTTCCGCATCTTCCGGCAATGAAGGCTTTTAGAACTTGGGCAGCCTTTTCTGAGGCGCCTCTCTGCTTCCCAGACACCTCGGGCAAGGACTGCCCTAGGTGCACGTGCTTTTTCTTGGCAGGTGGGGCCAGCATCCGGAGGAACTGAGGCCCCACCGTGTTATAAGCCCCTGAGAGCTGTGGTGCATTCACTAGGCTCTGAGTGAAGGCGGGGGCTCTCCCGAGAGCAGCAGGCCACAGGGCTCTGGGCTACTGTGTTTCCATGGGCGGTTCTAGATCAGAAGTCTGGATTGGTGGCCAAGTTCTGCCTCCAGGAGGATACTTCTGAGCCAGGAGCCTCCTCAGAGGTGAGGCATGAGGCCCAGCTGAGCCATGTTGCCAGGAGGCCTCCGCTGGTGTGAAGGCCAAGGCCATGTGCATGGAGACTACTACAGCCCTAGGAGCTTAGTGCATGGCCTTGGCGGATGCTTCCACTCACACGCAGGCAGGTCGCAGGCGGGGAAGGAGAGGTAGAGGAAGACCAGCTGGAGAAGCTAGCGGCTGAGGATAGGCAGGCCCAGCAGGCTCAGCAGGCCCCTGTGGTCCAAACCGCCAGACCCTGGACAGGTGTGGGCAGTGGCGGTGGGGTATGGGGCCAGTGAGAGGGATGACAACTTCACGATGCTCTGCAGAGGAGTGAAGGTGGTGTGGCCAAGGGTCAGCTGGCTGCTCTCAGTGTGGAGGGTGGGGATGGGGTGGCACTGTGCTGTGGGGCAGGGCAACAGACCTCTGGCTACTTTCTGATTTCTCCTGTGTGCCCTGCCCCCCCCTTCTGCTCCCTTTATCCCCTCCTTTCCGCCCTCCCTTCCTTCCTTCCCCCTCCCCTCTCGCCCTTCCTGCTTCCTCTGGGCCTCCTCTCTTCTTTGCCCCCACTTCCCAGGTACCCACAGGGCAGCAGAGACACCCTGACCTGGCACTCAGCTGGCCTTGTCCATGGCTTGGCCTGCTCCCGGGACCCCTGTGCATCATCGAGCCTGAAACAGTGAGCTGTGAGCAGCAGAGGCTGAGCCGGGATTTATAGCATGCGGGCCCCACAGGGCGAGTCTTAATCAGGCAAGAGCTGTAGCGTGATGGATTGGTCGATTCACTGGAGGAGGGGCACGGCCATGGGAGGACTGTGGCACAGCTAACCCATCCAAGCCAGGGCAAGACCCTCACTAATCAGTCCTACCCTCCCGGCTTGGGTGCTCATGGTGGGCAGGAGTAGGGGGTGGCCCGGGCAGATGAGCCTGGCAGAGTGTGGGGGTCACTGGCCCAGCCTGGGGCGGGGGGGCGGGGAGAAATATTGTATTTAGCAAGTCATGGCTTGAACTGAGTGCAGATTTGTGGAGAATATTCTAGAAGAGTGGACCTTGGTTTTGCCTCAACTGTGCCCCTGGCTTCTTCTCCCCTTCTTCTCCCCAGGTGTCTACACTTGGCCACTTCCCTGCCGCCACCACTTCCACTACACCCTCCCCCAGGCATTGGGACCTCAGGTGGCCACCTAGCCCACACTGAGGCTGCACCTGTAAGAAGGCCCCGCACCCTCTCCTCCCAGTGCGACAGGCAGGATGGGCGACATGGCCAACAGTTCCATCGAGTTCCACCCCAAGCCCCAGCAGCAGCGGGAGGCCCCCCATGCCGGCGGCTTCGGGTGCACGCTGGCTGAACTGCGCTCCCTCATGGAGCTCCGAGGGGCTGAGGCGCTGCAGAAGGTCCAAGAAGCCTACGGGGACGTCAGCGGGCTGTGCAGGAGGCTGAAGACCTCGCCCACAGAGGGTAAGTCTGCCGGCAGAGACCCGACACAGCCACTTGATCACAGGGGACTTTTGCCATGTGCCACTGGACACTCTAAGGGCCTCCTGAGGATGTCCCCTTCCTAGAGGCACTCTTTTTTTAAACTATGTTTTTATTCATTTCACAGAGAGAGAAAGGGAGAGGGAGAGGGAGAAACATCAATGATGAGAGAGAATCATTGAGCTGCTGCCTCCTGCATGCCCCCCACTAGGGATCGAGCCTGAAACCCAGGCATGTGCCCTGACCGGCAATCCAACCAATGACCTCTTGGTTAATGGGTCAGCACTCAACCACTGAGCCATGCCGGCTGGGCCCTAGAGGCACTCTTGACCCTGACCATGCCTTCCCTGGGTGGCCATTTCCCCCCCAAGCAGGAGCTGGTCTGTATGGGGTGAGGAGGTCACCCTCTGGGCAACCTGCAGTCTTCAAGGAGCTGTGGCTGGACCCCTGCACCCACACCTTCATAATGAGTGGCTCCCCGCTCTGGTCTCTTCTTCAGAATAATAGAAACCGAGTGACAGAAAAGGGGAAGGGAGGAGACAGCACCGCACCAATGCACGCAGGTGGGATGGCCCCTTTCTGTGTGCCGGTGCCCCACGTGCTCAGCACCTTGTCCAGTTAATCGGGGCTAGACAAGGAGCAAGAGGTGCAGAGTGGGGCTCTCTGAGGGCTTGGGTTGCAGGAGGCCTCTCCCTGGCAAGGGAGGGCATGGCTTGGGGACAGTGGGGCCTGAGGGGGTGGTGCCCAGAGTGCCAAGTAGAGGTAGCACTTGGTGACACCAAAGAGGTGCCAGCCTGAGACAGCGTAGATCTGAGCAGATCTGCTGCAAGGGGCCTCTGGGAGTCTTGGGGGCATCCTCTAGACCAGCGGTTCTCAACCTGTGGGTCGCGACCCCTTTGGGGGTCGAATGACCCTTTCACAGGGGTCGCCTAAGACCATCGGAAAAAATATAATTTCATATTGTTTTTGTGCTTAATCACTATGCTTTAATTATGTTCAGTGTGTAACAATGAAAATACATCCTGCATATCAGATATTTACATTACGATTCATAACAGTAGCAAAATTACAGTTATGAAGTAGCAACAAAAATAATTTTATGGTTGGGGGTCACCACAACATGAGGAACTGTATTAAAGGGTCGTGGCATTAGGAAGGTTGAGAACCACTGCTCTAGAAGGTTCTAAGAGTGAAGGCCTGACTGCCATTTTGGGTCCCCACCTCTGCCCTGAGGTCCTCACCTCCTGATCCCAAGGTGATCCTCTGTCCTGCTCTGTGCCAGCCTCCCCCAGTCCTGCCTTCTGGGTCTGCCCGGAAGCCGGGACCACCAGGAGCCAGGCTGGGTCCCAGGTTCCAAGAGTTGGAGTGTTTACCGGCCCAATGGGTACCTCCCTGGCAGGGATGCTGGGGCTGTCCCAGCCAGAGCCAGGCCTGTTCTGGGCCAGCGCTGATAGATCTCACAGCTCTCCTCTCAGCCATCACATCAGCCTCCCAGGGCCCTGGCCATCGTCTGCCTCCTGCTCCCTGGTCCCATGTGTCTGTGGGTGGCGCGTGGGCTGGGACTGGGAAGTAGAGATGGCCCACCGGGGAGGAATCAGGCCGAGGACCAGGCGGGAGGGCGCTCACCTGACTGGGTCAGGAACTCCGAGGTGGGTGGCCTTCCCTGACTTCCTGGGTCTCTCGTGGTTTGCACTGTAAAGAGGCCCAGCCTGACACGGCGTGTCACGGGGGCAGATGGTTTGATTCAGGGCCAGAGGATCTCTCTCCTTCCCTCCTCCTTGCCCTCCCCCATGATCTGGGGCCATTTAGCCACAAGAGCTCTGGCCTCCCCCAGATAAAAGGAAGCAGATGGGCTTCAGCTGGCAGCTCTTTCCTCTGCCTGTCAGGCTTTGTTAAATATTTAAAATGTCAAGGCCCCTGGGAACCTGCCTGATTCTGCCCCAGCAGCTCTGGAGCGCACCCGGTGCCTGTGGAGGGGCAGGAATGGAGAAGGGCAGGTGCCCAGGTGGGTGGCCCAGCCAGGCCTGGTCTGTGTCCCGAAGGATGAGTGGCACGAGGACCACCAACCCCTCTGCTGTTCGTTCCCCGGAGCCCTCAAGGTCTGGGCGCCAGGAATGGGTGACTGGCCCTCCAGCAAGTGTGGGATCCTGGAACACCTGCTGACTTAGTCCCCGAGTTCTCACCCAGACCCCCACTCACTCCTGCTCGGTCACAGTGGACTGAGCCGGTTGGAGGGGCCAGTTTAGCTGTGCCCCGGGCCCTCCACCAAACCCCCACCAAGGTGGGCAGACTGGGGATGCTGGCAGAGTGGTGCTTTGAGGAGGGTGGGGAGCTGTAGGGTGTATTGCGGGAGGGCAATTTTAGCAAGCCAGGAGAATTCCAGAAGCCAAGGAACCTGGGTCTTAGGCCAAGCTCAGTGGTAGGCCTGCTTGGGAGACCTGGGTCCCAGCCCTTCCCCTGTCTGGCCTCCACCAGCAATCATGGGAAGGAGGGGGCGGATTAGCCTGGAGCCACACGATGTGGTCTTAATCCAATTCCAATGGCATCTGGCCTCTGCTCTGGGCAGGCCGCCCATCTGTGTCCATGCCAACCGGCAGCCCCTGTCCCCGAACCCTGGACCTGGGCCGCCCTCAGGGGCCTGCTAGGCCTGGGCGTGCTTGGAACCAGAGGGGCTGCAGCTGCCTCCCCACCCCGTGAGTGCTTCAGCTGTCGGGACCCCTGAGCCCACAGGAAGGTCAAGGCCTCCAGCTGGTCTAGGGCAAGGGCGAGAGAAGCGTTGCTGCAGCATCAAGGGCAAACCAAGGCCAAGGGACAGGCTGAGAGGGAAGGAGGGAGGAAGGGAGGGAGGAAGGGAAGGAGGGAGGGAGGGAGCTCCTGGGGATGAGGCCCCCTGAGGGCCCAGTTTCTCAGGGACAAGCTGGGTTTGTGGGGCGAGGCCGGCGGGATGTAGATCCATGTGGCGCCACAGGCGATAAGCTCTGGGTGGGGGGTTGTCCCTCTCACGGGCTCCAGATCCATGTTCTTTCCTCAAGCAGGGGGAGGGGAGACCCTGGGCGTGTGTCAGTTCAAATGCCTCCCTGGCCCTGACCACACCTTTTCTATCTCCTGTGGCTCAAGGACATAGGCCCTGGGCAGGAGTGGGGTACAGGCCCTCGGCTGGGTCCCTGGCCCTTAGGAGCTGAGGTCCTGAGCCTCTCCCAGACACCCAACTGGGAAGCTGCAGACTCCAGAAACTTGAGCCACAGCTGGCCCGGCACGATGAGGCCAGGGGGAGAAGGGCAGGGACAGCTGCGGCTCTGCTGGGTGGGGAGGACAGCATGTGGTCATCGCCTCACTCAGGAGACATGCCAAGCCTGTGCCGGCTGTGGGCTTTCTCCTTATCAGTCCTTCCACCTCCAAGGGGCCCCACACGGCTCATCCCCAGAAGCCTTCTTTCCCTGCCCAGGGCACACCCACCCTCCTCCTCCCCACTCTTTCGGCATCACACTTAGCACTTCCTTGTCCTCAAGTCCCGTGGGGCCTGGTCTTGTTTGCCTTCCCAAGCTGGCTGGGAGCACCCCATGGGCTGGGACCTGGCCCTTCTGGGCCGCCCTGTCCCTGACAGAGACGCTGGGAGTGGCAGCGACTCAGAGCTGAGAACTGCAAGTCACCAGCTGTCCACCAGGTGTCAGTGTGGGCCTGGCACTGGGGGAAGAAGCAGCGGTTCTCAACCTGTGGGTCGCGAACAATGAAAATGCATTCTGCATATCAGATATTTACATGACGATTCATAACAGTAGCAACATTACAGCTATGAAGTAGCAACGAAAATAATTTTATGGTTGAGGGTCACCACAACATGAGGAACTGTATTAAAGGGTCGCAGCATTAGGAAGGTTGAGAACCACTGAGAGAGGCTGGGGGACAAGGTCAGGGCTGGGCACTGGAGTGCAGGGGAAAGATGAGCCTGGGAGGAAGGAGAATCCTGAGGGCTGAGGGTGGGGCCAGGGGACTGCGTCATCACATCTGCCTGCCTCTGGGGGCAATGGCCAAGTGGGTGTCCAGCCTTGGGAGGCAGTGGCCTGGATGCCAGTCCCACATGGAAACTTTGGGTACTTTCAGCCCTTCCACATGCTAGGGGCTCCGTGTTGTTTAGTGGCTACATGCCCACGCTATCCGGGCAGCTGGGCACCCCCACATACATGCCCCCAGGGTTGGCCAGACCAGTGCAGTTTCTGCTTTCTGGCACCTTCAGTCTAGAAGGAGAGACAGGCTTACCCAGGAGCAGGGGAAGAAGGTGTGGGGCCACGTGGGGCAGGGCTGCCGGCCGCCTTCCCATCATGCTCTGCCCCGCTCTCCGGTGTAGGCCTGGCCGACAACGCCAATGACTTGGAGAAGCGCAGGCAGATCTATGGCCAGAACTTCATCCCTCCCAAGCAGCCCAAGACCTTCCTGCAGCTGGTGTGGGAGGCCCTGCAGGATGTCACCCTCATCATCCTGGAGGTGGCTGCCATCGTGTCTCTGGGCCTCTCGTTCTATGCACCGCCAGGAGAGGAGAGTGAAGGTGAGGCAAAGGCCCAGAGGGGAGAGGAGTGGGGCCTGGCAGGAAGGGGCAGGACCAGGGCAGCAGCACAAGACAAGGGCTGGCAGGGAGGGGGGAGGATGGAACCTGAAATGAGGGGGGAGGTCATAGGCTGTCCCTACTCCAGCGGCAGGAAGGAGCCGGCTGGGGCGACCCTCTGACATCTCTGTACTCCCCTCTGTCGCCCTACATAGCGTGCGGGAACGTGTCATCTGGGGCAGAAGATGAAGGGGAGGCCGAGGCTGGCTGGATCGAGGGGGCAGCTATCTTGCTGTCTGTCATCTGCGTGGTGCTGGTCACGGCCTTCAATGACTGGAGCAAGGAGAAGCAGTTCCGAGGCCTGCAGAGCCGTATCGAGCAGGAACAGAAGTTCACAGTCATCCGGAACGGGCAGCTCCTCCAGGTCCCCGTGGCCGCGCTGGTGGTGGGGGACATCGCCCAGGTCAAGTATGGTGAGTGTGCCCGTCATGGCTCACTCTGCAAAAAGAAGATCAGCTCTCATTTCGGGGGTAGTGTGGGCCGAGGAGACCCCCACCCCCACCCCCACTGCAAGCCTTCTCCCCAGGAGCACATGGGCCTCAGCTGTGGGAGGCTGGAGGTGGGGATCATGGGCCCGAGGCCTCAGGAAACAGGCTGTCCCCACGGCCTGTCAAAGGCTATCCCAGCACCACAGGACGCTTCTGTGGTCCCCACTCTCTGGGACCCAGACCACAGGGCTAGGTGTGGGTGGGTCCCCCAGAAAGGAGGAGGCTGGACGAAGAGGACCCTGCATCCGAGGGGGTCCTCCCGTGGGCGAGGCAGGAGGCAGCAGGGAGAAAGGCCGCCTGGACCCACAGCCTGTGGTTCTGGCTGCCTGGCCGGCCCTAGGAGACCTGCTGCCTGCCGACGGCGTGCTCATCCAAGGCAATGACCTCAAAATTGACGAGAGCTCCCTGACCGGAGAGTCCGACCACGTGCGCAAGTCAGCCGACAAAGACCCCATGCTGCTCTCAGGTGAGGCCTCAGGGCACCGGCCCAGCCTGGGGAAGCTGGGAGGTGGCTGGCCACCACCCCTTGGACCAGCCCAGCACCCAGGAGCCTTGGAAGCCATTTGGCCCATCAACCCCCACAACCAGCCTCCCTGAGTAGCCCTTCTGGTTAGGGAGGCTGAAGACTTCACCCCCCTCGAGGCCAGAGCAGCCTGTGGGGGGCGTGGTGGTGGCGCTCCGGCCCCAGGGAAGGGCATGGGCCTTTCTAACCCCGGAGGGACCGGATGTCCTGAAGGAAGCCCCTAGAGGTGGGGCTGACTCTGGGGCAGCACAGTGCCGTGCTCCAAGCCAGACCCCAAGAAGAGCCAGTGAGGACAGGGTTCCCTTTCTAGAAGGTTCTGTCTTAGCCCAGTGTTTATCCCAGTGGCAAATGCAGTCCACAACAGAATGGAGAGGCTGGAGGTGGGCCTTGCAAATGGCTCATCCCGTGCCTCTGGGACAGGAGCTGCTCCAAGCCAGGGAGGAGGTTTTGGTCTAGACTTAGGGCCAACACAGCCTCCAGGGGCCTCCAGACGCTGAGTCTTGATTCTGGGATTCCCGGGACAGAACCTGTAGGTGCTGAGCATGCCTCCCACCCGGCGGTGCGAATCTCTGTCTCGGTCTCTCTGTGTTGGCTGTGCCAGGCACTCATGTCATGGAAGGTTCTGGAAGAATGGTGGTGACAGCTGTGGGTGTGAACTCCCAGACAGGCATCATCTTTACCTTGCTTGGAGCTGGCGGAGAGGAGGAGGAGAAGAAGGACAAGAAAGGTAAGGTCATGCAGGCCTCCAGTTCCCAGCGCCCATGAAGGGCTGGCTCCCCTTCTATGCAGCTCGCTCGCTCTTCTTTGCCTGCTGCTGGCGGTCCCCCGCTAGCCCATCCCTGGCTCCAGCTCTGGCTCCGGCTCTGGCTCTGGCTCTGGCTCTGGGAGAGACAGCCTTACCCTCTCTTCTGATTTTTTTGGGGGTCCTCTCTTCTGGGGTCTTTGCCCCAGAGCCAGCAGGTCAGGGGCCCCCCAATTCTGTGTAAGGGCAGCTTCCTTCAGATGGCTCTTCCCCAAAGGCATGGGGACATGTGTGCCAGGGTGGGGGAGTGCCCTGCTTGGTAGGAATGGGGTCAGAGTGACAGGGTCTTAAGAGAATGCTGCCCACCTTCAGGGGTGCCCAACCACCACAGTAAAGTGCTGAGGGTCCCAGGCCAACATGGAAGCCAGGAAATGCAGGCCATGCAGGCCCAGGGGGAGGGCTCCCAAGCAGAAAGCAAGCCCTGCAAAGGACGCCCAGGGCCAGAGGAAGCTAGAATAGGCAGGGGTCCTCCCTGCAAGGGAAAGCAGTGTCAAGGGACAAATGTCTTCTGAGAAGCCAGCTCTGTAGCCACTGCGGCCTCCCTGCTGCCTCCTCTTGCCTCTGCTCTGAGCCCCAGGCATGGCCAGTGTCCCCTCCAGTCCTCAAACAGGGCTCACAGCTGCTGTCAGCATCCACCCCCCTGTCTTGGTCCCGCGGGTCAGGATCCCATTCTCTTCCACGACTCAGGTCTCCACCTGCTCATGACTCTCCATGCTGACCTGGGTCTCCTGGTCCTGGGGTCAGAGCACGTGGGGCACGGAGTTTTCTAGATGTGCCTCACCCCTGAGGGATCTATCAGGGCCTCTACCAGAAGGAAGCCCCTCCCCATACACGTGGGGAGAACTCTCACTGCAAGCCTGCAGCCAGGGCCCCAGTCAGCGAGATGCTGGGGCTGGTGAGCTGGGCAGGGATGCAGGGGCACCAGTCACTGGCCTTACTTCAGTCAGTCAAGGCCACTGGGCCTGAAGAGCAGGTGGGATCAGTCTGCCCAACCCCAGCAACATGGAGACAGGTCAGCACAAGGAAGGACGTGCTAGTGTCCCCAGCCCTTGGCCACCCTGCTCCTGGAGGTGGTGAGGGAGGAGATGGATGAACTGCCATTATCTAGAAGCTTCCGTGGGCTCCGCCTCCTGGCATTTTCCAGCTCCTGGCTGGCCAGGCCCTCCCCTCACAGCCAACTGGCACCCGTGGACCCTCTTCCATCTTGGCCACACCCAGCCCCCTCTCCCTGCAGAGCTCGGCCCCGTGTCTCTCCATAGTGAGCTTCTCTCCAGGGAAGCCCAGCTGGCTTTGCCTGCTGGTCCTTCATCAACACCCTGGTAGCCAGTTAGTAGGGCACCCTTCCCACACTCCTTCCTAGGCCCCCTCCCGTTTGACCTTGACAAAACCCCTCCAGCAACCCCCCAGGTTCCCCCCTTGCCCTTCTCCAGCACCCCAGGCTGGGCTACTTAGGAATAAGAGGGGCCACCTCCGCCAGCCAGCTTCCTGAAGGAGGGGGACTCTGAGGGGGGCCTGGTGGGGGAGCAGAGCTGGCCAGGCTCAGGAGAGGGGGCAGCAGCACCCAAGAGCCCTCACTGATGTCTCAGCCCAAGGACCACTGTGGAGACAGGGAGGTGGCCACGCCCAGCGCCTCCCCCTGGCCCTTGCTGCATCCTGACCAGCCTATCTGCCCACCGCTCCCTGTCCACCTGCTGCCTCCCCACCTGTTTCTTACCTGTTGGCTTTCATTCCTAGCCACCCTTCTCCTCGGATGCCCTCCTTCCCCTCATCCTCCCCTCCTTCGGCTCCTGTCCCTCTTAAGCTGAGCACAGTCTTCCTCTTCCTGTAGCCCTCACCCCAAACCTCCTTCCCTCCTCCATGGGCCTCCCCGGGCCCTGCCTGCAGCCTTGGACCTCTGGGGTCCTTCGCCCCAGGGCTTCCAGCAACACCCCCTCTTTGTGCTGCATTGTCACCATGTGTCTACAGGTGTCTCCCCTCCACCCAGAAGTCTCCTTCACCTATGAACCCCCTGCACCCCCTCAGGGGTCCCAGGCAGAGAGGATCCAACCCACACTCCATCCTGCCCCACAAGGGGTCTCTCCCTCCTCCCTGGGGCCCACAGACCAGACCCTACTGACTGGGAGTCACCTGGCACCCTGTGTCCATGGATCCCCAGCCCATGAACAAGTCAGCCCATAAGTCCCTCCCACCCCAGGTTGGTCATCTCTGGATCCTGCCAGCTCACGTGTGGCCTCCAGGGGGGCACTGTGGTACAGAGCCAGGCCCCAAGCACAGGGCCAGGCTCCCTCGCCTGTCAGATCTCCTGTGCCCCCGTCCAGAGTCGGAGCCCTTGGAAACCGGAGGAGCAACCAGTGCTGGTTACCTTGACCTTGGGAATCTGTCACTACACAGGCTCTGGCACCCAGGCTCAGGCTTTGTGGTCACAGAGCACCTTCAGGGAGCTCCTGCATTCATGTCACAGTAGATGGCTGCAGGGGCTACGGAGGAGGCAGGCTGGGTCCTTGCCCTCAGGTGCACCCACCACCTGAGCCCCTCACCTGGGGTCCAGCCCATTCCATGCCCCAGCTGCTCCCTCCAGCAATATGTAAGTGCCCAGCACCCAGACTGGCACCCCGACCCCAGAAAATTCCTAGGGTTTCCTTTGTCCCTCAAAAGTACACATAGCCCGGCCAGTGTGGCTCAGTGGTTGAGCATCGACCTATGAACCAGGAGGTCACAAATTGATTCCCAGTCAGGGCACATGCCCGGTTTCGGCCTCGATCCCCAGTGGGGGGCGTGCAGAGGCAGCCAATCAATGATTCTCTCTCATCATTGATGTTTCTATCTCTCTGTCCCTCTCTGAAATCAACAAATATATATATATGTATAAAGTACACATAGAGCTGACTGTTAGCTAAGGTGCAGAGAAAGTGGATCTGCAGGCTGCCAGGGGTTAGCAGCCGTCTAGCTAAACTCCTCGTGCTGGTTCTGGGGGCTGCATATCCCGACTGGGGGGCCCTGCTCAAGGTGGCAGAGCTTGGACCAGATACCTGACAGCTCTCACGCCCCATGGTGACAGCCCTTCCAGAAACCTCCTACTGCCAGCCACTGAGAGCTGGCGTAGGGCTCCCTGGAGGGCTGGGGTCAAGGCCAGTGAGGAGCCCTGGCTAGGGGTCTCGCTCATGAAGCCAAATGCTTGCAGCGCCCATGTGCCACGTGCTGAGAGGTGTGGCAAGAGGGCACCACGTGAGCCTGGAGAGGACAGGGCCCTCCTCCCTCTCCTGCCTTCTTCCCCTGTGCTCGCCGCTGGACTGTGCACCCCGCTGTCCCGTGTGCATGTGCGTGTGCCAGGGCCATGTGGATGTTCTCAAGTCTCCGTGTCTGTCGTTCCTTTTCCATTGTAGGCAAGCAGCAGGATGGGGCGATGGAGAGTAGCCAGACCAAAGGTAACACGCGCCCTGCGCTCAGGATGGGGTGGCGGACGGAGGGCACGACTCGGGGTGGGGGGTTGCCCGCCTCAGTTGCAGGAGCAGCACCTGGACACCAGGTGAGTGGGGCAGGGCGGCCCCCTGCAGACCCCGCCAGGAGTGTGCAAGGATCACCTTTGAGCTGGCATTCTGGTGAGGAAACTGAGGCTCAGACAGGGTGACTTGCCCAACGCCTGATCAGGCCCGTGGGTTTCCCAGTTCAGCTGCCTTTCTTTTGGGCAGGCATCCAAGGGGCGGAGGCCCACTCTCCTCTCAGCCCACATGCCGGTTGGGAGCCAGGCCTCCATGGCCGGGATGAAGGCTTATCAGCGGTCATTCATAGGCGCTGGGGACCCAAAGGTGGATAAAGCACCATCCCAGGCCTCAGGAAGGTCACCGTCCAGATAGAGGGACCAGGGGCTGTATAAAGTGCCGCATGGGCCTGGCCAGTGTGGCTCAGTGGTTGAGCATTGACCTTTGAACCAGGAGATCAAGGGTTTGATTCCTGGTCAGGGCACATGCCTGGGTTTCAGGCTCAATCCCCAGTGTGGGGCGTGCAGGAGGCAGCTGATTAATGATTCTCTCTCATCACTGATGTTTCTATCTCTGTCTCCCTCTCCCTTCCTCTCTGAAATCAATAAAAAAATATATTTAAAGTGCAGCGTCGGACCCAGGGACCAAGACAGGATCAGACAAGCAAACAAGAATTCAGAGCATAGCTGGGGTTGGGAGGGCATTTGGGACAGGGTGACAGCCCGGTGGCTAGGGTCCAGGACTGGGGCAGGGAGTGACAGTCAGTGGGGCATGAGGCTATAGTGGCCCAGCTGGGTGGGGCCTTGAGTGTTGCTGAGGCCATGGGCTCTGGCCTGAGGCCCAGGAAATAAGAAGCCATTGCTGAGTGGTCTCAGGCAGCCAAGGAAGAAAGGATGGGTGGGAAGACCGGAAGCAACAGGGAGCATCTGACACAGCGAAGTGGCAGGAAGTGTTCAGAGGCGGTGTTAGGAGCATCCAGAGTCCCATTGGGTGGGGACAAGAGCAGTGAGGTGGGAAGATGAGTGGCAGGGTTGAGTGCCCCCTCTGGGTCACTTGAGGCAGTGCAGTTGGAGACCTTCAAGGCACAGAGTGTGAGGCAATAGAGGTGATGGAGGCAGGGTAGGGGACATAGCACCACCATCACTACATCAGGGGCAGCAGGGCCACTGGGGGAGTGTTCCAGAGAGAAGGCAAGGAGGTGGCTGGAGGAGAGGAACAAAAGAGTAGTTCCATGGAGAGAGGGGTAGAAAGCCCAAGGCCCAGGGCAGCCCATACAAGCAGCAGCCTCCGGCAGCCAGGGAACGGGCTGAGAGCATGTGTGGTGGTCTGGGTCCTTGTTGGAAGGTGGGGCGGGGTAGGGGCTGGCAAGAAAAGAAACAGCCTGAGCAGGGAGCAGGAGAGGAGCGTGCAGGGGCTCCTGGGCCCCCCTGAGCAGAGTGGGGAGGGGGCTTGCACACCGGTGGGCCAATGAATCAGTCAGCTCAGGGTTCTGGAATGTTCCTTGGGCCCCAGGCCTCTGCTCTCGGGCATTGAGATTTGGGGTGTTACAGGACTTGCCGCCCTGTCTGTGTGCCCAAGTTACTTGTGCTTATGTCTGTCCTCCGTCCTCTGTGAGGCCTCAAGAGAACCATCTCCATCCCAGCCAGGAGGGCCTGGGCTGCCCAGGACCGAGGAGGGAGAGGAGCAAGCCCCGTGCCGAGTCGCACTCAGAAATCGGAGAACTCCCCACCCCCTGCCCAATCCTGTGTTCTCTGGTCTGGTGTGGCATGTCTTTCCCTGTGAAAGCCCCCTGTAGCTGTCACCCCAGCAGCCAGGCCCTAACCTTGGCTGTGGGGTTCTTCTGTGTGCAGCCAAGAAGCAGGATGGGGCAGTTGCCATGGAAATGCAGCCGCTGAAGAGCGCGGAGGGCGGGGAGATGGAGGAGCGGGAGAAGAAGAAGGCCAGCGTGCCCAAGAAGGAGAAGTCGGTCCTGCAGGGCAAGCTCACCAAACTGGCCGTGCAGATCGGGAAAGCAGGTGGGGGCTGCAGAGCGGGGACCGGGGCCCCGTCGGGGAGGGGGACTCCAGGGCCATGGACAGCAAGTGGGAAATGGATGTGGCAGGTGGGGTGAGCCAGACAGCAAGGGGACAGGCCAGGGGGGTGATGGCCATCAGGGCCTGGTCCAGCCCCGTTCTGGCGAGCACGGATTCTAAATGCGCCATAAGGCCTGGGGCAGGGAGTACCTCTCCAACTCAGCTCAGCTCAGGTTGGCATCAGCTGCAGTGTCCCTTACTCCTTCCCTTTTGCTCTCTCCCTTCCTTGCCCCTCCCTGCCAATCCCCAATCTTGCCCCCACCCTCTGTGGCCTCTTGTGGCCGGGCAGGGCTGGTGATGTCCGCCATTACCGTCATCATCCTGGTCCTCTACTTCGTGATTGAGAACTTCGTGTTGGAAGGCCGGGTGTGGATGGCTGAGTGCACGCCGGTCTACGTGCAGTACTTCGTCAAGTTCTTCATCATCGGCGTCACTGTGCTGGTTGTGGCTGTCCCGGAGGGCCTGCCTCTTGCTGTCACCATCTCCTTAGCTTACTCTGTCAAGGTAATAATACGAAACACAGTCGTTGAACTAAGAACCCCATGAGACCAGGATACAAACCCAAAACTGGGCTGTGAAGCTGGTAAGCATGCTGGACGCCGAGAGGACTGGAGAGAGTTTGGGATCCATCCCTCGGGGGCAGAGCAGGGAGGCTAAGCTAGGACCCAGAGCCGAACTCAGCCATCCTTCCCCACCTGGCTTCCTGGGCGCAGTGACACGAGCCAGAAAGCAGGCGAGCAGTGGGATAGATCTGGCATCTACAGGGTGAGAGCAGGGGGCACAGAGGGACCAGGGAGTTGAGGGAATTGGCACCACTTGCAGAAGTGAGGGGTGGGGGATGATCAGGAGAGATCCCACTGGGAGACAGTGGGTGGCACAGGGCAGAGATTGGGGGAAAGCTGCAGGGCCAGCACATGACTTGAGAGGGCATGTGGGCAGGGGTATGGTCCTGGGCAGCAGGGAGGCCCCGAGTGAGCTCTGGGGAGAGCAGCTACCAGAGCCGGCCTCTCAGCCCGCCCAACAGGGTCCTTAGGCCACACCATAGGTCTGATCACCACCCTGCAGCTACTGCAAGCTGTGCCTTGGGCGCTGCTATCAGCCTCCAGTGTGTTAGTGCCACGTGGAGAGCTGGTGGGGCAGACCAGGGTGTCTGTGCCCTTTCCAGAAAATGATGAAGGACAACAACCTGGTCCGACACCTGGACGCCTGTGAGACGATGGGCAACGCCACAGCCATCTGCTCGGACAAGACGGGCACACTCACCACCAACCGTATGACCGTGGTCCAGTCCTACCTCGGGGACACCCACTACAAAGAGATTCCGGCCCCCAGCGCCCTGACCCCCAAGATCCTCGACCTCCTGGTCCACGCCATCTCCATCAACAGTGCCTACACCACCAAAATACTAGTGAGCCAAGAGCAGGGCTGGGACGAGACAAGGGGTCCGGGGCTCACTGTGCTCTCTGGAGAATTTTTTTTAATTGATTTCAGAGAGGAAGGGAGGGAGAGAGAGAGAGACATCCATGATGAGAGAGAATCATGGATCGGCTGCCTCCCGTACACCCCCTACTGGGGATCGAGCCTGCAACCCAGGCATGTGCCCTGACCAGGAATCGAACTGTGACTCCTGGTTCATGGGTCAGTACTCAACCACTGACCCATACCAGCCGGGTTCTTGAGAACTTTGGACCAGAGCTACAATACTCTCTGGGGTGGTGGTCACCTTTCCCTCGTCCCTGGCCCCAGTACTCCTGCCCTCGCTGCTTGCTCTGGAAACCCCTTCCAAGCCCAGCGAGTGGTGCGAAACCTGCCCATCTAGTCCACCCCGGAGGCACTCTTCGGCTCACTGCCACCACACCCTAAAGACTCGGTGACTGTGGCCGCGCTGGGGCCCCAGGGGGAGCCAGGAGGGTGGACGTGGGCCCCCAGTGCCATGCTGCTTTGCCTCACCTCACAGCCTCCAGAGAAGGAAGGTGCCCTCCCTCGCCAAGTGGGCAACAAGACGGAATGCGCTCTGCTGGGCTTCGTCCTGGACCTGAAGCGGGACGTCCAGCCTGTGCGGGAACAGATTCCGGAAGACAAGCTTTACAAAGTGTACACCTTCAACTCGGTCCGCAAGTCCATGAGCACGGTCATCCGCATGCCAGAAGGTGGCTTCCGCCTCTTCAGCAAGGGCGCCTCCGAGATCCTGCTGAAAAAGTGAGGGGTGTGCGGGGGCGAGCCCTGGGCTGGGGGTGCCAGGGACTGGGGGCCAGTGGAAATACACAAGCATGCTGGTATCACTATTGTGCTGAAATAGACGTACCATCCAGTTGGCCATTTTCATCACTTTAGCAGGGGTGGGGAACGTTTTTTCTGCCAAGGGCCATTTGGCCATTTGTATAGTCATCATTCGAGGACTATACAGAAGTATCAACTTAAAAATTAGCCTGCATTGCCCTGCTGGCGTGGCTCGGTGGTTGAGCGTCAACCCATGAACCAGGAGGTCATGGTTCGATTCCTGGTCAGGGCACATGCCCGGGTTATGGGCTCCATCCCCAGTGTGGGGCGTGTAGGAGGCAGCTGATCCATGATTCTCTCTCATCATTGATGTTTCTGTCTCTCTCTCCCTCTCTCTTCCTCTCTGAAATTAATAAAAAAATATGTATTTTTTAAAAGAAAAAAATTAGCCTGCTATATTTGGTCAAACATTTAACTAACTCACCCCTAATGCCTTGGCAGGGCCAGACCAAATGATTTCATGAGCCTTTACGGCCCGTGGGCCAGATGTTCCCCACCCCTGCTTTAAAGTGTACAGTTCGGTGGCATTAAATGCATCCACAATGGTGTGCACCATTACCACTATCCAGTTGCAGACTATTGTCATCACCCCCAAAGGAAACCCTGTGCTGTCACTCCCATCCCCCAACCCCCTTCCAGCCCCTGGCAACCACTAATCTCTCTGTCTCTATGGATTTGCCTATTCTGGGCATTTCATATGAATGGAATCCTACGACCTTTTGTGTTTGGCTTCTTTCACTCAAGTATCATGTTTTCAAGGTTCATCCACGTCATAGCATGGATCACTGCTCCGTTCCTTTTTAGGGCTGAATAATATTCCATTGCACGGATAGACTACATTTGGTTTGTCACTCATCCACCGACAGACACTTGTACTGTGTCCACCTTTTGGCTACTGTGAATCATGCTGCTCTGAAATTGCTGTACAGTTTGGTTTGAACACGTGTTTTCACCTCTCTTGGGCATATCCCTAGGAGTGGAATTACTGGCTCACATGGTAATTCTGTGATTAGCTTCATGAAAAACCACCATAGTATTTTCCACAGCAGCTGCACCATTTTACATCCCACCAGCAATGCAGAAGGGTTCCGTCTTCTCATGCTCACCAACTTGTGCTACTTTCTTATTTTTCTTATTATTATTGTCAACCTAGGGATGTAAAGGGGGATCTCCTGGTGGTTTTGATTAGTATTTCCCTAATGACTGGTGATGTTGGTGCCTTTTTTAAAAAAATACTTTTTTTTATTGACTTCAGAGAGGAAGAGAGAGGGAGAGAAAGAAAAACATCAAGATGGCCCTGACCAGTTTGGCTCAGTGGCTAGAGCGTCGGCCTGTGGACTGAAGAGTCCCAGGTTTGATTCTGGTCAAGGGCATGTACCTTGGTTGCGGGCACATCCCCAGTAGGGGGTGTGCAGGAGGCAGCTGATGGATGTTTCTCTCTCATCGATGTTTCTAACTCTCTATCCCTCTCCCTTCCTCTCTGTAAAAAATCAATAAAATATATTTTTTTAAAAATCAAGATGAGAGAGAATCATTGATCAGCTGCCTCCTGCACGCCCCCCACAGGGATTGAGCCCACAACCCGGGCATGTGCCCTGACCGGAATCGAACCGTGACCTCCTGGTTCATAAGTCGATGTTCAACCACTGAGCCACGCCGGCAGGGCAACTATAAAGCCATCATCTAAGGCAAGACCTTATTGTGCCTCTGTGCGCATAGCCAGCCTTCCAGGGCCTTCAGGATGTAGTCCTCAGCAGGACATCTGGGGCTCCCAGCTCCCATAGGACGACCAAGAGCACCCCCACCGGCTGTGTCCTGACCTCTGCTGACCACTGCCCCATCCAAGATGCTCTCCCCAAAACTTTGCCCATGCACAGCCTCCCCAGTGTAGTTCAAAGGCCACCTCCTCCCTGAATTCATCCCGTCTGGGTCCTATTGAGTGTTGCAGCTGGATTTGGAGACGTACGGAAGAGGGCTGTAGTTGGGCCTGGGCTGTGTGAACGTGAACTAGTTACTCCCCCACCTGGGGCCTCGGTTTCCCCTGTAGCATGGAGATAACAGGAATATTTACCTCCTGGGAGTGCTGTGAGAATTACATGAGTGAATCTGTGCCAGCTTTTGCTGTGATCATGGCTCCCCCGGGCCTCCTCAGCCAGCTCTTCTCCTTCACCCCTCCTCCAGCACGCCTGCCTCTGGGCCCTTGGTTCCTTTGCTCCTTCCTCTTCTACACCCGAATTCTGCCAGCTCTCCCCATCCTGGCTCTCTGAGAAGCTTCCAGGGTCACCGGAGCTCGTACCGAGGTTGCTGCCTTGTCATGGCCCACTACCTGGCATTCAGTGTTGGCCAATGTGCCACACTCCAGTCCTAAAGCCATGGTGTCTGTGAGGGGCTGTGATGAGCCCTGCACTCTGGCCTCCCACAGGTCTCCTAGCTTACATTCAGCCCCTGGGGCTGCCAGAACAATGGACCATAAACCTGATGGCTTAACACAACAGAAATCTATTCTCTCCCAGTTCTAGAAGCCTGAAGTCTGAAACCAAGATGTGGCCAGGGCCAGCTCCCTTTCAAAGCCTCTAGGGAAGCGTCCTTTCGTGTGTCTCCCAGCCTCTGTTGTCACTGGCAGTCCTTGTCATTCCTTGGCTTGTAGACGTATCACTCCAGTCTCTGCCTCCGTCATCACGTGGCCTTGTCCCCGTGTGGGTCTCTATCTCTGTGTCTTCTGGTGTGTGTGTGTGTGTGTGTGTGTGTGTGTGTGTGTGTGTGTTTTAACCCTCACCCAAGGTGTGAGGGTTTTTTTTCCCATTGATTTTTAGTGAGAGTGGAAGGAGAAAGAGAGAAAGAAAGGAGAGAGAAACATCGATGTGAGAGAGACACATCAATCGGTTGCCTCCCACATGTGCCACGACCGGCCCAGGGGCTGGGATTGAACTTGCAAACTGGAACTCGAACCCACAATCCTCCAGTGCACAGGCCAACACTCTAACAGTTGAGCCACGCCGGCCAGGGTTTTTATTAGGACATCAGTCATTGCACTGAGGGCCTACCCTAATCCAGTGTCACCTCGACTTTGCAACCAACCTATTTCCAAATCGGGTCCCATTCCAAGGTTCTGGGAAGAACATGAATTTGGGGGGACACACTATTCTGCCCCACACAAGCAGAGGGCCTCCCTCCTTGGAGAGGCCTCCGCTGAGTCAGATGGAGGCTCAGACTGACACCCACCCAGACTCTCATCTCCTCTTGCTCTGTCCCTGCCGCAGGTGCACCAACATCTTAAACAGCAACGGGGAGCTGCGCGCCTTCCGCCCCAGGGACCGGGACGACATGGTGAAGAAGATCATAGAGCCAATGGCTTGTGATGGCCTCCGCACCATCTGCATCGCCTACCGGGACTTCTCTGCCTCCCAGGAGCCGGACTGGGAAAACGAGAACGAAGTTGTGGGCGACCTCACCTGCATAGCCATTGTGGGCATCGAGGACCCTGTGCGGCCCGAGGTAGCCATGCTCTCCTCTGGGATAGGCCCAGGGCATCGGGATCGGGGGAGGGGCAGCCCTTCTTCCTGTCTGGCCCCCAGGGTGTGGCCTTTGGACCTAAATGCAAGGAGAGAACCGCCTCTTTCTCCTGCTTTCTGGGCTGTCACACCCCTTCCTGCCAGAGTTGGAGGTAGAGCAAACTGGTCACCCCCAGGAGTCTAGAAAGGTGGGTGATGACAGAGCCTCAGGTCCTCCAGGGCCACAGCCACCACACCCTAGATCAGAGCCTCTACGGTGCACTTGACCTCTCACCCTGCTCCTGTAGGGGGCTCTGTCCTGCCCGCTGGAAGGCCCCTCCTGCTTGGCCTCCATGCTTCGCTCAGGTTCTGCCTCCACCAGGTGAGAGAGGGTGGCAGCCAGAACTTCGACAGCCATGACACCCATAGGACTGATGGAGAGGGAAGAGACAGCACGACTCTGGGCTCTGGCTTGGTGATGTGGGTGGACGGCACTGCCATCATGGGACTGGGAAGTCCGAGAGGACACAGGTGTGGGGGGCAAAGCGGGACAGTTCTAGGTTGAGGGCTTGGTTGGGGACATGCCATGGAGATGTCAAGGGGGTAGGTGGCTGTAGGAGTATAGAGCTCAGAGCAATGGTCCTAGCAGGAGACCATTACTGCTTATATGAGTGATGTCTCAGGGAGGGTGTGCGGCTGGAGCAGAGGCCTTCAAAGGAGGCTCAAAGGGAGGGGCCAGGCAGGGAGGGGAAACCGCGAGGGCCATGTTACCGAAGCAAGAGGACGGCTTAGCCTGGTCACCACAGAGGCAGGTTCTTTTTTTAAGCCACCAATACTTTTTAAAATATATTTTTATTGATTTCAGAGAGGAAGGGAGAGGGAGAGAGAGATAAAAATATCAGTGATGAGAGAGAACCATCCATCAGCTGCCTCCTGCAAGCCCCACACTGAGGATCGAGCCCATAACCTGGGCATGTGCCCTGACCAGGAATCAAACAGTGACCTCTTGGTTCATAGATCAATGCTCACCCACTGAGCCACGCTGGCCGGGCCAAAGGCAGGTTCTTGACATTAAGAGTTCACTGGAGACCTTGACCTGAGCGGGTTCTGTGGGCTGGCGAGGCAGGGAGCCAGGACATGTAGACAACTTACCTGAGAGCTTCCCTGAAGAGAAACAGGGCAGGAACTGGCCATGGTGGAGAGTGAGGAACCAATGGAGAGGTTAGCTGGTCCTTAAAGATGGGGGGGGTCTTCCAGGGAGGGGGAGCCTGCCTGGGCTGGCCTGGAGTGAGGTGCCCGTGGCAGCTGCAGCACACCAGGCCCCGGGGGGTGAGAGGCAGGGGGTGCAGGAAGGGACCCTCTCCCTCCTCCCAGGGCCTCTTCACCTCATGTCAGAAGCAGAGCCACCTGGATCTGCTGATTAGCCTGAACACATACAGTGGGGCCTTGACTTACGAGTTTAATTCGTTCAGTTCCGAGACCGAGCTCGTTAAGGAGCTTGTTAACTCAAATTACTCTGTCAACTCAATGCAAAAAATCGGCTGAGAGACAGCTGGTATCTCAAAAAACTCATTAGTCGGGACACTGGTAAGTCAAGGCCCCACTGTACATGTGTACCAGCCGCCCTAGGGGCTGCCGAGATGAAGGAGGAGAAGTTTCAGGCTCTCCTTCGGGAGACAGGCCACACCTAAATGCTGGCCACACATCATCAGCGACCAGGTGTCCCTGAATTCCGAGGAGGAAATGGACAGTGGCGGTGGGGAGGGGAGAGACTTCCAGTCAGAGGAACAGGCCTGGAGAAGAGAGCAGTGGGAGGAGTAGCCTGGGTGCTGCTGAGGGAAGCAAGACCACCCCCAGGGACACAGGGGCCAGGCCTTTCCCTTCATTGGACCAGGGAGCAGCTGAGGCCCAGCGTGGAGAAGGGCTGTGCCCACACAGCAAAGCTGAGTCATAAAGCCATGTTGCCCTCACCTGGACCTAATGGCCTTCCCCTTCTTTTTTTAATTAATTCATTTATTTTTTGTTAATCCTCAGCTGAGAATATTTTTCCATTGATTTTTAGCTGGAGTGGAAGGGAGGGTGAGAGACACAGAGAGAGAAACATCAATGTGAGAGACATCAATTGGTTGCCTCCCTGGACGAGGGTTTTGTTTTGTTTTGTTTTGTTTTGTTTTGTTTTGTTTTGTTTTGTTTTGTTTTTAGAGAGAGAGTGGCAGAGAAAGGAAAAGACAGAGAGAAACATTATTGTGAGAGTTACACATCGGTTGGTTGCCTCCTACACGAGCCCCGACCAGGACCCAGGCCGGGGAGGAGCCTGCAACCAAAGTATGTGCCCTTGACGGGAATCCAACCAGGACCCTTCAGTCCTCAGGCCAACACTCTATCCACTGAGCCAAACCAGCTAGAGCGGCTTTCCCCTTCTGAATGGGGCCATCTACACACACTCCTCTACCCCCAGCATGGCTGCAGCCCCCCAGCTGGGGTCCAGTGCTGCTCCCACAGCGGTGGGTGTCCCCCCTGACTTCCTGGCAGGCGCCTACAGTACAGTGGCAGCTCTAGACTTTTCCACCCAACTCTCTGGGGCTGTGTGACGCTGCCAGAGGCTGGAGCACCTTTGAATGCATCACAGACTCAGGAAGATGACATCCCCTGGCTCCCAGGGCCCTGGCCAAGGCCATTTCCACACCATCATAACCAGCCCACCCTCCCCTTCCTCCTCAGCCACTTGCCCGGATGAAGGGGTGTGAGCATGAAACAGCTCTTGGCCACACAGCACAAGGAGCTCTTCTGGCCTGGTTCCCTGGCCCCAGGAGCCCTAAGTTCTGGTAGAAATATTTGTTGATCAAACTGAAGCTGAGTCATAGATGTAAGGCTGGAGACCTTAGGTGTATTTGCAGATATTCTGATCTGAGTTGGCTTGTTGACAGAAGTGCCAATGAGTCCACCTTAGTGGGGGACGGGGGCAGATGGAGCTGCCCCGGGCGGCTGCACATGGGTGGGGTGAGGCCCAGCCCTGCCTCTGCTCAGTATCCTTCTCAGAGTGGGATGTTATTATTGTGGTAAATTTTCATCTTAGAAAATCCAGAACCCGGGCACAAGTCCCTGGAAGGGTACAATGAAGGCCCAGCTGCAGCGGCTGCCAGCGATGGCTGCTTGTTTAAAATCCAGAAGCGGCCCTAGCCAGTTTGGCTCAGTGGATAGAGCGTTGGCCTGAGGACTGAAGGGTCCCAGGTTCAATTCCAGTCAAGGGCACGTACCTCGGTTACAGGCTCCATCCCTAGCCCTGGTCAGGCGCATGCGGGAGGCAACCAATCAATGTGTCTCTCTTACATCAATGTTCCTTTCTCTGTCTCTCCATGTCCCTTCCACTCTCCAAAAATCAATGGAAAAACATCTTTGGGTGAGGAATAACAACAACAACAAATCTAGAAGGAACCTGGGTGACAGGGTCCAGGGAAAGGGACAGGCTTGAGAGAGGCTGAGTGAGAGTCTGCACAGCAGATGGCACTGCCAAGGTCAGGCTTGGGAGGCCAGGCGACGGCCTGCGGAGACCAGCCAGCGGGGTAAGGGCCAAGGAGTGAGGCCAGGGCCCAGCGGAGTCCTTGTGCTGGTGCAGGCAGGAGGGTGGATGGGTCTCTGCTAAACCTTGGGGACCCAGATGACTGCAGCCAGAGGAGGACTGAGGTCTCAGCCCTTGGGAGGAGGTCACAGGGGGTCTGGAGGCAGGCTGTATTCATGGTGATCGGGCTGGACCACAAGGAGGCAAGTGAGGAAGGACAGTGCCCGATGAAGGAGAGGGTGCCCTGGGAGGGAGGGGTCTACCTCTGTGAGGAGCAGGGGAGCAAGGCTCATCATGGCCACTTGGTGGCAGCAGAGGGTGGCTTCCAGATGCTTCAGGGACTGGAGGGAACTCCCTAGAAGGGGAGTATCTCCCTATAGCTCATTGTCCAGCAACCCAACAGCTGCAGAGAGCGGAAGGTGTCCCTGAGGCACATGACTAGGGGGGCAGAAGGAAAGCACCCTTCCTGGTCACTGTCACAGCCCTAAAATGGGGCCCTTCTGACTGGGCTCTGGTCCCCCCCTCTTTCTCATACCCACTCTCCCTGGCTGAGATCATAGCCACTCCCCATGACCTCAGGGGCCACCAGCATATGGGGCCTCTCAAGGCCGTGTCCACCTGCCCCCCGTGTTGCCCCACCTGCTGGCCACTGCCCCTGGGCTCTCCCAGCTGTGCTGTCGAATCCTCACCACCTGGTGGCCCAGCTCACCCCCCTGTCCCTGGGCTCCCAGGCCCGACTGCTCTCTCTCCTCTGGCCCAGCCTGTTCTCACAGCCTCTGTCTCGGCTGGGAGCACTGAGAACCCATCAGGTGGGTGTGTTGGGTCCATTGAACAGAGCAGGGGGCCAGGTCCCCAGGCTGCACCCTTGCCGGCTTGCATCCGGGCATCTCACAGGCCGACTAGGCCTAACCTCCTTATCCAATTTCCTGAGCCCTGAGCCCACTGCTCGGAGCTTCCTGTAGCCTCTGGGCTCGGGAGCCCCCTCAGCATTGGCTTTGGGAGCAGAAGCACCTCCACTCTCTGGGAGGACCTCCTGGCTGGTCTCGACTCCCTTCAGCCCTTTGTGCACTTAGCACTGAAGCGATCTCTTTCTTCCCTCTTTTCCAGAATCTAGTTTTATATATATTTAAATATATTTGTATTGATTTCAGAGAGGGATGAAGAGGGAGAGAGAGATAGAAACATCAATGATGACAGAAAATCATTGATTGGCTGCCTTTTGCATGCCCCACCCTGGGGATCGAGCCCCCAGCCCAGGCATGTGCCCTGACTGGGAGTTGAACCATGACCTCCTGGTTCATAGGTCCACGATCAACCACTGAGCCATGCCGGCCAGGCTAGTATTATATTTTGAAAATGGAAATGTATGCTTCGTAACCAAGCAATGTTTCATTTCTTCTAATGAGTAGTGAAACCTGCAACTCTAAATGTTTAGGTTTTCTATTGTTTAAAGAAAAAAAAAGTGGAGGGAGACAAATGAGAGAGTTGCCCAGAGTGTGGCCACCAGCCAGCTGATAGCCTGGAGCCTGCCCTAAGTCAGGCCCAAAGAGTCAGGCCCGTAGTGGGCCCTACTGTCTGGCAGGGTGGCTGGGGGACAGAGGTTCCTTTCTCACTCTTCCCGAGCTGACAGCCACCATGCCAGCTGGCCTGGTCACCAGGGCTGATCCCAGCTCAGCAGCTCTGGGTCCCTATATGTCGCAATGGAAAATGGGGCTGACGGAGCTGGCATGCTTCTATAGTCGCCTTTCCATCCACAGCTCAGGCAGTGACCCAGGACAGAGCTTCCAGTAGCTTCTCCCAGCCTTGCTTGTGGTGTCAGGGCCTAGGTTGGAGGTGTGGCCAGTCCCAGAAGCCCAGCACAGTGAAGGAGGCACCTAGAGGGTGATGCGGGCTGAAGGACGGAGGGAGACGCCCTGCCCACTACGGGCTCGGCTGATGGCGGTGGTAGAATATACAAGCCATTCTCCCTGATTTCTCTAGGCCTCCCCCTCTGCAGAAGTCCTTGCTTAGGACCACAGGGGTGGGGGCAGGGGGTGCTGCAGATCTGGGTGCAGGAAAGCCTGGACACAGCAGTGTCTTGCCTTGATGGCCCCGCCCACGTCAGTCATCATTTCCAGGTCCCTGAAGCTATCCGCAAATGCCAGCGTGCTGGCATCACAGTCCGCATGGTGACTGGGGACAACATCAACACAGCCCGGGCCATTGCAGCCAAGTGCGGCATCATCCAGCCCGGGGAGGACTTCCTGTGCCTAGAGGGGAAGGAGTTCAACCGGAGGATCCGCAATGAGAAAGGCGAGGTAGTTCCCAGCCCATTTGCCCTTCCACAGGGGGCTGCATGGTTGGCTCAGCTCGGTTCCGTCCAGGGTTCTGGCCACTTCTCCACTCTCCTCCACCGCCTCTGCTCAGCCTTGCCTGCCCCCAGGCTCTGCAGTGGCTGTGTGCTTCCCCCTCCCAGATCGAACAAGAGCGTCTGGACAAGGTGTGGCCCAAGCTGAGGGTCCTCGCCCGATCGTCTCCCACAGACAAGCACACTCTGGTCAAAGGTAATGGAGCGAGCAAGCTCTCACTCACCCCTGCCCCTGCCCCTGCCCCTGCCATGCCCCTGCCCAGAGTGGCATGATGCTGGCTGGGTGTGGCTGTCACCCCTGCATGCTTTCTGCTCCCAGACATCCAAAGCCAAGCTCCCAAATGGGTCTCCAGGGCCTGCCTAAGACATGGGGTCTTCGGCTCTGGACCCGTTGCAGTTGGAGAGTTGGCTTGTGTCTCTGAGCAAGTCACTGGCCCTCCCTGAACCTCAGCTTACTCTTTGGGAAAACAATGGAGGCCCCTCAGAGGGCTGACATAACAGAGCTCAATCCTCCATTTCTCTGGGCTAACATCGTGAATGGAAGATGCCAGTTGAGCCTAGCCTCTGGTAACAGATGGGGAAACTGAGGCCCTGAAGAGGGAGACATTTATCCAAGTCACATGGTGCTGGGCTCCTCCCTTCTTTAAAAAAAATATTTTTTTTATTGACTTCAGAGGAAGGGAGAGGGAGAGAGAGAAACATCAATGATGAGAGAGAACCACTGATCGGCTGCCTCCTGCACGCCCCACACTGGGGATCAAGCTCACAACCCCAGGCATTTGCCCTGACCGGGAATCAAACCATGACCTCCTGGTTCACAATTCAATGCTCAACCACTGAGCCATGCCGGCTGGGTTGGGCTCCTGCCTTCTACCAAATCACAACACCCTGCATCATCTCACTGGGTGATGGACCTTGTGGGGAGGAGGGGGCGGAGCTTCTAGTCAAGGCACAGAGACTTGAGCACAGAGGCTTGGGGTTGGGAGGCACAGTCAAAATCCCAGAGGGTTTCCAGAATCAACTGTCCCTCCCCTGTCCCCCCCACCCCCCGCTGCCCCGGGATGGTCACACAGCCACGCTGTGTTTCAGGGATCATTGACAGCACCACCGGTGAGCAGCGGCAGGTGGTGGCCGTGACCGGGGATGGCACCAACGATGGGCCAGCACTCAAGAAGGCAGACGTGGGCTTCGCCATGGTAAGCCACCCGATGCCTGCCCGGCTCACCATGCCTGGCAGGGCCTGTGTCTCTAGGACATCAGCTCTATGCAAGAACCTGGGAGTTAGTGGTAAGGCAAGTTGGGGAATGCCTGGATTTCCTTCTCGCTCATCATGGCCACTTGGTTTTGTTTTTAATCCTCACCTGAGGATATTTTTCCATTGATTTTTAGAGAAAGTGGAAGAGAGGGAGAGACAGAGAGAAACATCTATGTGAGAGAAACACATCGATTGGTTGCCTCTTGCACAAGCCCCGACCAGGGCCCGGGCTGGGGAGGAGCCTGCAACTGAGGTACGTGCCCTTGACTGGAATCAAACCCGGGACCCCTCAGTCCGCAGGCCAACACTCTATCCACTGAGCCACACCAGCTAGGGACACCCTCTTTGTTTATGAGCAAAGCTTCGAGACAAGCTGTGGTACATGTCCTTGTGGTACAAGGACATGTTGGATGAAATGAGAGCTGTCCCCAGTTGGGAACTCTGTGAGGGAACGGCAGGGAGTCACCAGGTGGGCCGGGTGATCGAAGGGCGGTGGGGAATGGGCTAATGGACACTGTGTGCGTGTGTGCGCTCCCCAGGGCATTGCAGGGACTGACGTGGCCAAGGAGGCCTCAGACATCATCCTGACTGATGACAACTTCACCAGCATCGTCAAGGCGGTCATGTGGGGCCGCAATGTCTATGACAGCATCTCCAAGTTCCTGCAATTCCAGCTGACGGTCAATGTGGTGGCCGTGATCGTGGCCTTCACGGGCGCCTGCATTACTCAGGTGGGCATTGCGGACCGCCTTGCCCAAGGAGGACCCTGGGATCTCCCTCCCACAGCCCCTAGGGCCTGTAGGAGGAAGCCAGTTTCCGAGACCCTGCCTGCCCTGTACATCTGGACCCCAGTGCAGAGAGCAAGCCCAGGGACCCTGCTGGCAGGCATGTGCAGGCGAAGAGCTCCCACCTGAGGCCCCCAGGTTGGGAGAGCCAGGTGTTTCCTTTGCTGATTTTTTTTTTTTACTGAGATAAAATTCACATACCAAAAAAGTTCCCCATTTGAGAGCATACAATGCAGTGGCACTTAGTATATTTACAGTGCTGTACAATTATCATCTCTATCTCGTTCCAGAATCTTTCCATCATCCCAAAAGGAAACCCCATACCCCTTAGCAAGCACTCCCCATCCCCCCTCCCCCAGCCTCTGGTACCCACCAATCTACTTCCTATCTCTACAGACTTCTCTATTTATTCTGGTCATTTCGTATAAATGCAATCAAACAATGCGGTTGTTTGTGTCTGGCTCCTTTCGCTTAACGCAATGTTTTCAAGGTCCAACTGTGTTATATGGATCCAGACTTCATGCCTTTTGGTGGCGGAATAATGTTCCATTGTATGGCTGCAGCGAGTCGTGCGCCCATCCCTCCATCCATGGGCACTTGGGTTGTTTGCACTTCTGTGAATAACGCCGCTGTGCACACGCATGAATGCAGCTTTATGTGGACTGGGGACTGGCGTTTTCAGTTCTGCTGGGTCTAGTCTAGACCTACAAGTGGAAGTGCAGGGGCCCTGGGAACTTGTATTTAACCTTTGAAGGAGCCTCTTCACCTTTATCAATAGTCCACTTCTTTCCATTAGTGAGTCTCCAGAACTTGTCGCACTTTCAGAGGTTTTGTGTTTGTTTGTTTTTAATATATACGTTTATTGATTTCAGAGAGGAAGGGAGGAGAGAGAGAGAGAGAGAGAGAGATCAATGATGAGAGAGCATGATTGATCAGCTACCTTCTGCACGCCCCACACTGGGGATCAAGCTCACAACCCGGGCATGTGCCTTGACCTCCTGGTTCATAGGTCGATGTTCAACCACTGAGCCATGCTGGCCGGGTGGTTTTGTTTTTTTTAATCTTCACCCGAGGATTTTTCCCCCCATTGATTTCTGAAGAGAAAGGAAGAGAGGGAGGAGGGAGAGGAAGGGAGAGAGGGAGAGAGGGAGAGAGAGAGAGAGAGAGAAACATCAAAAATGACAGAGACACATCAATTAGCTGCCTCCTACATGCACCCTGACTGGGGCTGGGGAACCTGCAACCAAGGTACATGCCCTTGACCAGGAATCAAACCTGCAACCCTTCAGTCTGCAGTCTAACCCTCCAACCACTGAGCCAAACCAGCCAGGACCAGAGGTTTTTTTACTGAGATAAAATTCACATAACAAACTGCACTGTAATCGCCATTTTAACCATTTAAAAGTGTACAATTCCGTGGTTGTTAGTGCATTCACAACGTCATGCAATCATCACCACTGTCTCATTCCAGAACGTTTTCATCACCCCCGTGCCTGCTAAGCAACCACTCCCTCATTCCCCTTCATCTGCTTTTCATCTGCTTTCTGTCTCCTCAGATCTGTCAGTTTTGGAAGTTTCATGAGAACACAATCATACAGTATGTGGTTCCTGGTGTCTAGCTTCTGTGGGTCTTATTTTTAACCAACAACTCAGAGACGAGGAGGAGAAGGAAGGCCTGTGCAGAGTTTCTGCCTCTTCCTGCTCCTCGGGTGTGGGGGACCGGGAGGCCACCATTAGTCAGGCTCTTTCACAGGCTGGGCAACTGCCAGCCTCCTGCTAATAATTTGGGCCGCGCCTTCTAGATCACTGCCACCAGGTAAGAAGAGGAGACTGGCAACATTTTAAGAGCAGGAATCAGCCCAGTGAAAACTCTCAACTAATCTTAGAAAACATAGGGATGGAGCTCAGCCAACATGACTCAGTGTTCGAGCGTTGACCTACGAACCAGGAGGTCACGGTTCGATTCCCCATCAGGGCACATGCCCGAGTTGTGGGCTCGGTCCCCGGTGTGCGGCTTGCAGGAGGCAGACGATCAATGATGCTCTCTCATCATTTATGTTTCTATCTCTCTCTCTCCCTCTCCCTTCCTCTCTGAAGTCAATAAAAAATATATGTTTTTTTAAAAGGGAAACAGGGATAGAGATGTCACGTTTTATAGCAGGGGTCCTCAAACTACGGCCCGCGGGCCACATGCAAATACAAATATTGTATTTGCTCCCGTTTTGTTTTTTTACTTCAAAATAAGATATGTGCAGTGTGCATAGGAATTTGTTCATAGTTTTTTTTTAAACTATAGTCCGGCCCTCCAACGGTCTGAGGGACAGTGAACTGGCCCCCTGTTTAAAAAGTTTGAGGACCCCAGTTTTATAGGAAGGTCGAATTTGTTGCACTTTTGCTTGAATGAAATTCCAGTGATATTGCCCCTGAACTCAGTTTCTTCCCAGGAGCTGTGGGCCTGTAGGGTTTCCAGCACCACATTGGGGCGACTACCTCTTCTCCACAGGACTCTCCTCTCAAAGCCGTGCAGATGTTGTGGGTGAACTTGATTATGGACACATTTGCCTCTCTGGCCCTGGCGACAGAGCCGCCCACCGAGTCGCTGTTGCTGCGGAAGCCATATGGCCGGGACAAGCCCCTGATCTCCCGAACCATGATGAAGAACATTCTGGGCCATGCGGTCTACCAGCTCACCATCATCTTCACGCTGCTGTTTGTGGGTAGGTTGGTCCTGGGCACACTGTGCTACTACTGGATCTTTGGGCTCCTGCCCTGTCTGGGGGTGGAAGGCACAGATGAGCACCTGGGGACCCGATTTCCGGTGAGGACCCACCCCTTGGCCCTCACCTCCCTGCTGCCCCTCTGTGCGTATGCCCCACCCAGGTGTCACAGGCCCCTGAGCCGCTGAGAAACTGTCCAGTGCTCCATAGAGCAGGTGGCATGTCTCAGCATACACCCAGACCAGGTCACTCACCCATCTGTCCACTCACCCCATGACTGTGTACTTCTCCAGGAGACAATGACCAGAGTGGTCTCCGGGAAGCTGTGAGAGGAGGAGGACCAGGAGAGAAAGGGGAGAGGAAGAGGGAAAGGGGAAGGGAGGAAGGGGGTAGGAAAAGGAAAGGGGGATAGAGGAGGGGACGAAAAGAAGGGAGGCTGGAGGGGAGAGAAGGGGGGTGGAGAAGAGGAAGGGAGAAGAGGGGAAGAAGGAGGAAGGAGAAAAAGGGTAGGGAGGAGGAGGGAGAGCAGAAGGGGGAATGAAGGGAAGGAGAGGAGGGAGAGGGGTAAAAGAGAAGGAGGAGAAGAAGGGGGAGGAGGGAGTCAGAAAGCAAGAAGGGGGCAAGGGCAGGGGAGGGGAGAGAGGCAGAGACAGGAGTGTGGACAGTAGAGGGAAGGACTGATGGGGAGAGGCTGGGCAGAGGGTGCTCAGGGCGACAATCACAGGGCCCCCAGCCATTGGCTCTGCCTGCAGCCCAGACATGGAGGGCATGGAGCCCTCCAGCACACTGGCTGCTCCTGGGAATCCTGGTGCCAGTGCCTGCTGTCCAGTCCACCTCTGAGTTTCTTCTGTGTTGGGTAGGCTCTGTGGAGCAGACTCATTATTATTATTTTTAATCCTCACCCGAGGATATTTTCCCATTGATTTTTAGAGAGAGTGGAAGGGAAGGGGGAGAGACAGAGAGAGAAACTTCCATGTGAGAGACACCCATTGATTGGTTGCCTCACGCATGCGCCCTGACCAGGACCTGGGATTGAGCCAGCAACAGAGGTACGTGCCCTTGACCAGAATTGAATCCATGACCCTTCAGTCTGCAGGCCATCGCTCTAATCACTGAGCCAAACCGGCTAGGGCAGATTCCTTTCATTATATCGGGGGTGGGTTTGCTGGTTTGTGTGTGTGTGTGTGGCCTCTCTCCCTTATGTCGGGGTGCTCCCCATGTATCTGCAACCCTGGACTGTGGGTGGCCTGGGTCCCCATCACAGCACTCCAGCGCCTGGTGAAGTGAGGTTTTCAGCGCATATTCCTCGGAGCAGAATCAAAGCTCAGTGTGCAGGAGTCACAGTGGGGGCCCCCAAATGTCAGTATCTGGGGACCCTCTGTGGAGCTTTTCTATGATTTCTTGGGAGCAGAAGCCCCCTGCCTTGTCCAAGGGCCTAGCCCGGCTGCCTTGTCCTAGGGTAGGGCAGGGTGGAGGAGGGCTGGGCTCCCCTCCACCCCGCAGCCCCCCGAGTCCTTCCCAGCCCACCCCCAACTCAACCCAGCAGGCAAATGAGAAAAGATGTGCCAGAGCTCTGTCTTAGTTTCTTTGTTTTCCCTTTAAAATATATATTTTTATTGATTTCAAAGAGGAAGGGAGAGAGAGAGAGATAGAGTCATCAACGATGAGAGAGAATCATTGATCGGCTGCTTCCTGAACTCCCTCTACTGGGGGTTGATCCTGCAACCCAGGCAATGTGCCCTTGACTGGAATCGAACTTGGGACTCTTCAGTCCACAGGCCTACACTTTATCCACTGAGCCAAACCAGCTAGGGCTTAACTTCTTCTTAAAAATATATATATTTTTATTGATCCCAGAGAAAGGAAGGGAGGGAGAGAGATAGAAACATCAATGATGAGAAAGTCATTGATTGGCTGCCTCCTGCATGCCCACACTGGGCATCGAGCCCACAATCCAGGCATGTGCCCTGACCCGGAACTGAACCGTGACCTCCTGGTTCATAGGTCCATGCTCAACCACTGAGCCATGCCAGCTGGCCTGTCTTAATTTCTTCATTTCTGCCCTCGGGTTTCAGGTTTTAGTGCCAGTCCCTCACCCCCGCCCAGGTCCTGCCGCTGACCTTGGCTGTCTCCCCAAGGGGTTAGGGCTGTGCCTGGCTCAGGGCCCTGCTCCCCTCACGTGGCCCTTGGCTTACAGGGGAGCTTTTCTTCGACATCGACAGCGGGAGGAACGCGCCCCTGCACTCGCCGCCCTCGGAGCACTACACCATCATCTTTAACACCTTCGTCATGATGCAGCTCTTCAACGAGATCAATGCCCGCAAGATCCATGGCGAGCGCAACGTCTTCCATGGCATCTTTGGCAACCCCATCTTCTGCACCATCGTCCTGGGCACCTTCGCCATTCAGGTAGGGGGAAGGGCCCACTCTTGGGAGAGGCGGGGAGCATGTCCCCTTGGTACTGGCCTCTCTACTATTTTTTAATATTTTTATTAATATCAGAGAGGAAAGGAGAGGGAGAGATAGAAACATCAATGATGAGAGAGAATCATTGATTGGCTGCCTCCTGCACGCCCCACACTGGGATCAAGCCCACAACCCGGGCATGTGCCCTGGCTGGGAATCAAACCGTGACTTCCTGGTTCATAGGTCGATGCTCAACCACTGAGCCACATCGGCCAGCCTGGCCTTTTTTTTCTTTTTTTTTTAATCCTCACCTGATGATATTTTCCCATTGATTTTTAGAGAGAGTGGATGAGAGAGGGAAAGACAGAGAGAGAAACATCGATGTGAGAGAAATACATCGATTGGTTGTCTCCTGTATGCGCCCTGACCAGGGTCCAGGCCGGGGAGAAGCCTGCAACCACGATACATGCCCTTGACTGGAAGGTGCCCTTGACCAGAATTGAACCCAGGACCCTTCGGTCCACTGGCAGACACTCTATCCACTGAGCCAAACCGGCCAGGGTTGGCCTGGCTTCTTTAGAATAAAAACAGGCCTCATCCTGGGTCCACCTGCTGGATCCAGAGGGGCTCAGGGGCCTCCTCAGACCTGACCTTCTCACAGGTCCCACTGGGTCAGCCATGGCCATTTCTAACAGCCGTTTCCCTTGTGCTGACACACAGGCCTCTGCCTGCCACAGGCTGGCCAGTCCGCTTCCCAGGAGGGCTGAGCATTTGAACAGAGGGTACATTCATAAAACATGTGACATATAGTGAGGTCCACAGGCCAGAATACTTGTTCCTCACAGTTCTCGGAGGAGGAGTCTGCCCCACTATGGGGGGCCACCAGGGCCAGTCAGGAGGCTGAGGGAGAGGGGGGCGACAGAGGAAAGGGAGGGGGGCAGGAAGAGATTAACCAAAGAACTTATATGCATATATGCATTGTCTATGGACAACAGGGTGGTGAAGGCCTGGGGCTGGACAAAAACCGGGTGGACGGGGGCAATAGGGAGGAAGAGGAGACATCTGTAATACTCCCAACAATAAAGGTTAAAAAAATTTTTTTTAAGAAAGAGGAGCTGTGAGGTGGGGTGAGTAGGCTGAGGACGGGCTAGTGCGAGTGATTTCAGGGTTGGGGGGGAGGGCTGGGCTGTCCCTGGTTGTCTGGAACCTGGCTCTGGGTGAATGGGGTGGAGGACAGTGGCCTGAAGTGTGAGAGCCCGTTGGTCTGTATTTTAAAAGCTCGCCACTAGGTGGAGACTTTCTCTCAAGGAGAAGGCAATGAGGGAGCAGGAGGCCTGGCGAGGTGACGCTGGTGTGCCCAGGGCTGTCCAGAACAAAGCGTGTCCAGCGTATGCACGCAGCGTAAATGTTAACCCCTAGAGTGACAGGGAGCGCGATCCCGCTCCTCCTGTCTTTCCCCAAAAGTGCCGGGAGCGCGATCGCGCTCCTCCTGCAGTGTCACTATTAGATGCTAGTAGTTCACTCTTTATTGACAGATGGCGCCTAAGGGCAGATTACTTATGATGCCGAATGTTTGTAGTTCTAAGATTGACCACTGGCATTTATCTGCCTAATTTTTTTACAGGTACTACGATTTGATGAAGTTTTTTTTCCCCTAAACTGCTGTAAAATCAGCAAAAATGCTTTGGCAATTTTAGCATAGTTCCTAGGATATTGGCTGGCACTCAAAGGGTTAAAGAATCAAATTTACAGAAGCTGGAAATGCGGTTTATCCGCTGAGCCCACCTGCCTGGGGAAAGCAGCAGCCTCTCTGAGCCTCTGAGCAGGGCGGGGCCGCCCGCAGGGCAGGATGGGATGGACCTCGAGTACTAGAGGAAGAGGGTGGTATGAATAGGTGTGCCGGCTGGACCCGCCTCCCTCCCTCCCACCCTCTCCTGCAGATTGTCATCGTCCAGTTTGGTGGAAAGCCCTTCAGCTGCTCCCCGCTGTCCACGGAGCAGTGGCTCTGGTGCCTGTTTGTTGGTATTGGGGAGCTGGTCTGGGGCCAGGTGAGTCTCTGTTTTATCAGCTTCCCTAGTCCCACCTCCTTCCCCCTGTCTCATCAGCTTCCCTAGTCCCGCCCCCTCCCCTCATCTCATTGGCTTTCCTAGTCCCGCCCCCTTCCCCTTGTTTCATCAGCTTCCCTAGTCCTGCCCCCTCCCCCCATCTCATTGGCTTTCCTAGTCCGCCCCCTTCCCCCTGTCTCATCAGTTTCCCTAGTCCCGCCCCCTCCCCCCAAATCATTGGCTTTCCTAGTCCCGCCCCCTTCCCCCTGCCTTATCAGCTTTCCCAGTCCCGCCCCCATCGCATTTGCTCTGCAACAGCCCTGGTGATGGGCACAAGGCCAGGGAATGGTGGGCAGCTCAGGGACCCCTGCCCCTGCTCCTTGCTCCAGAGCTTCGGAGCCCAAGCCTGGGAAAGCAGGTGGCATATTCAGGTTGGCGGCACTACACAGCGGGGCTCAGACGTGGGACATGCCACGACTCAGGTGGCAAGGCCACAAGCGACAGTGTCAGCAGAAAGAAGGTAAAGGGCCATGGCGGGAATGTCACAGGGCCTTGGCAAAACCACCCATCACTCCCCTTTTCATGCTAGGACCTAGGAATCATCCCTTAACACTGGGTGCCTTGGGAAATCCCCACCTATCTGAAAACAACATCCTGCTAAATCCTCCACGGGCAAGAGAAAATGTGAGGGAAATGAGGAAATACTTTGAGCTGATGGAAAGTGAAACCCTGACACCTCAAGCTCTGTGGTTGCAGTCAAAGCCGTGTGTGTGTGTGTGTGTGTGTGTGTGTGTGTGTGTGTAGGTGTCATAGTACCTGAGTATTAAGTCAGGAAGAAAGGTAGGGGCCGCCCAGGCCTCTGAAAGCGTTTCTCCGGAATCTAGAACACTGCGTAGGATGCTGAGCCCAGGATCCACTCTGTCCTGTGTGTTACTCACCTCACGCCACCACAACACATACCACAGACTGGGTGGCTTAGACAGCGTAGGTTATTCTCCAACAGCAATGGGGCCTGGAAGTCCAAGATCAAGTCTACACAGGGCGGGTGCAGGAGAGACCGGGCGCAGCTTCCAGGCCCCGGCACTGATGTGCCAACATGCACGGGCGCTGCCACCAGGAAAGCATCCCTGGCCGCAGTGTGCAGGGACTTCCCCGGGAGTGGGTCCTGCAGGCCTGGGGCGCCCACGTGGCTGACCTCGGTCTCAGGCTCCAGCCCCTGGAGGCCAAGGTCGTATGTTGGGCCCAACCCCCCCTCAGACAGCACTGTCAGTAGAGACTACCTCCAGAGCGCGCGCCCAGGCAAACCAAGGCCTCCTCCTCAGGCAGTGCTGCCAGGTACCTAGAGGTCAGGTACCTAGAGGTCCCTCCCAGGAGCTGAGGGCTAAGGACAGAGTTCCATCTGGTAAAGCAGATCCCTTAGTTCACACACTACGTGCGAAGGTTGCACCAGCTGCTCCTGTGGCCCTCTGCTTGGCTGGGGGACGACAAGGAGGAGCCATAGGCATGCACACCAGCTCCCCCAGGGCCAGCTCTGGGTCTGCTCTCTCTTTTTTAAAAAAATATATTTGTATTGATTTCAGAGAGGAAGGGAGAGGGAGAGATAGATAAAAACATCAGTGATGAGAATCACTCATCAGCTGCCTCCCACACGCCCCACACTGGGGATCGAGCTGGCAACCCGGACATGTGCCCTGACTGGGAATCGAACTGTGACCTGGTTCAAAGGTCGATGCTCAACCACTGAGCCACACCAGCTGGGCTGGATCTGCTTTCTTTGATGAACAGGAAACCAAGCCCCTCAGAGGAAAGAGGCTGGCTCTCCCTCTGGAGTGTGGAGTTGGCACCAGGCACAAGTGGCCCAGGCATGAAGCCTCAGGGACAAGGAAGGGATGTCCAGTCCTGGGTGTGGGGATACACAGACACCTGCCTCAGCCATTGTCAGAGGGAGTTGGGCAGCTTGGGTCCCTTCTGGGCCCCGCAGAGCTCTCGCCCTGAAAAGCCCGGCCCTGCTCTGATGGCCACCCCCGCCTGCTGTCCCTCACCTCTGGCCCCCAGGTCATCGCCACGATTCCCACCAGCCAGCTCAAGTGCCTGAAGGAGGCGGGGCACGGGCCTGGGAAGGACGAGATGACTGATGAGGAGCTGGCCGAGGGGGAGGAAGAAATTGACCATGCCGAGCGGGAGCTCCGCAGAGGCCAGATCCTCTGGTTCCGGGGCCTCAACCGGATCCAGACGCAGGTAAGCTGCCACGTGCTAGGCCACTCGGCTTTTCTGCTTCCGGAGGGTGGCAAGCAAGCAACAGGCAGCGAATGGGTGTGTTGAGCAGGGGACTGACAGGCAAAGCCTTGGGTCTCGCGGCCACGATCAATGCGGGCAGTGGCTAGTGTCCCTATGCCATCCACACACATACCCTCTGGCAGTTGTGGCACTGAGGTGGCCCGCCACCTCCCTCAGAGCCCAGCTGGCCTTCCCGTAGTGAGGACAGGTGTCAGCTGCAGGTGTGTGCTGTGACCAGTCGCTGTGTCTCTGGGGGCTCTGAGGAGCTGCTGGGCCTCGCTGTATGTGGCGGGAACTGCCCCCAGGTCACAGGGAAGGGACATTCCGGGGATGACCCAGATGCCATTTCAAGTAGCCCTTGGCAAACTCACCGTTCACTGGGTTCTGTTGGGGATTCCGTGGAACGATGTCGTTTGGGACATGGACTCCGGCCACCAAGTTGGTCCTTTCTGGTCACCCCACTCTACAAATATCAGGGCTGCTGTCCTCTATCAAGTCCCACAGCCACGACTGCCCAGCCGTGAGCCCTGGCCAAGGTTTCACAAGAGCCCGCCCGCCAGAGACCGCCCTGCTCTCTGCCCCCAGCTCTTCCCAGCCAGCCTTCTTGCCAGAATGTTCCATACTCGCTATCTCTCCATGGTTTTCCCATGCACTCACTTGTGATCCCATCGCAGCCTAGCCTCTGCCCTCAGCGTCCCAGAGGCTCGCGTCAAGGTCTACAAGGCATCCTCCCGGCTCTCGGGGTCAGGCTGTCCCTCCTTCCTTCCTGCTTCGAAGCTTCTTCCCAGCGCCCTTCTGGAAGTGCCGTCATCCCTGCTGTCCCTGGCGGCTTGCTGTCCCCTCTCCACCTCGCTCTCTGCTCCCGCCTGCCACCCCCGCCTCCCGCTGAGACATCGGTCCACCCTGCTGTGGCCCTCGTGTGTTGAAAATCCCCCGGACCCGGGGGCGTCGGACACGATAGGGAAGGAAGGAGGAGCGGGTGAGAGCTGCCCCATGTGCGGATCAGGGATCCTGCCTGACCCTCCGCCCTCCGCCCCCTCCAGTCACCCGCAGCCCCATTCATTCATTCAGCTCCATCCAGCCCCCGCCGACCTGCCACACAGACAGATGCTGGTCTCCGCCAGTGCCCGGTGCCCCTCACTCACCACCGCCTCCTCCGTCCAGCCTAGAACCGCGGAGCGCCGCGCCCTCACCAAGATGCTTCCCAGCACCCACCCTGGGTTCGGCCACCAGCTCACCTCCCAGCCCCAGCTCACCTCCTCCCAGCCCCCCAGCTCCTGACCTGTGACTCCAGAGCCCCAGGGACATCTCAGAGCCTCTTCTTGTCTCCCCGCACACCCGGGGCCTCGGCATGGTTCATCGGCTCAACACGGCCTCCTCGAATGCAAGTCCCCAGTTCTGCTGCCACCCCGGCCCCTCGCAACACAGCGTCGGCTCAGCATAGCCATTTCCCGCCCCTCCTGGGCTTCCTGCTCCCCCCACTCCCCGCTCCCCCCACCTCCAGCCCAGGACCCCCAGCCCCACTGCCCCTGACCTGGCTCCGATTGCTTCTCCTCCTGGGGTCCCACCAGAAGGAAGGATCCCGGACTGCTCGGCCCTTCTCCAGAGTTTGTTTAGGCAACTTGGACCCCTCGGCCTGGGGCAGGACCTGAGACACATCTCTCTCCATGTCTGCCCGCCAGCCCGGCACACATCGCCACAGGCTCATCCCAAAGACTCTTCCACGCAGTGTGCCCAAAGCCCCAGGCCCAGTGCTACCTCCTGGTGCACACAGCTCGGCAGCTGCTCCGCACAGCGCCTGGGGGGTCATGGGGCTCCGCCTCAGGCACCCCTCCTCTCTTCCCCAGGCTCCAGCCTCAACTGTGGCCATGAGCTCCCAGCCTCCTGCCGGCTCCACCAGCCCTTGCTCAGCTCGGCCCCTCCAGCGCCACTCTCCACACCTTCACCCGTGTAGCCTCTTCCCCTTGTCCTAAGGGTGAAGTCCAGGGTCCAGACAGTGGCCTTCGAGCCCCTGCCTCTTGGTGTCACCCCACACCCCCTGCACCCCTGTGACCCCCTGCTGCCTTTCCAGATGTGCGCTCCGCTCCCCCCACCCAACCCCCCGCTTCGCTGTGCCTCCGTGCTGGCCACCCGTCCGGGCTCCAGGCCTCCCCAGCTCCCACTGTGTCCCCTCGGGGGATCCCCCCTCATCCTGCAGCTGCCCACTCAAAGGCCACTGCCTTGTGAAGCCTTCTCAGAGTCCACTCCCTCCCACCACCGTGGACCCTCGCGGATGCTTGGCACACATACTCATGGCTCTTCTTTCTCCCATGGCCAGCCATCTGTGCACCCCGCCCAGGGCGCTGGAGTCAGTGAGGAGCACGCTCCCCGAGGGGGCGTCCCAAAGCTGCAGCGTGCAGGACTGCCCCCAGAGCTCAGGGTGCTTTAGGGCTGGGTGAGGTGGCACCAAGGAACTCCATGTTTAAGGGGCTCCCCAGGGGTCCGAGGGGCTTCTGCAGTGGAGCAGTAGGAAGCCAGGTCTCTGTGCCGAGTACCTAAGCTGTGTGGCCCGGGAAGAATGTCTTAGGTCGGGCAGAACACAGAGCACCTGGTAGAACAAGAGTAGCCTTTGTAGCCAGGTGTCTACGTCTCCCCATTGCCTTCTGGCCACTGGGCTGTAAGCCCCACCCACCCTGGCCTGGCCCTGACGGGCTCTTGTCCATCATGCAGAGCATTGGCAGGGGTGAGGGTGGGAGGGAGTGCAGCAGCACCTTGCCTGCCCTGGTCAGCCCATCAGTGAACCTAAGGTTGAGCCTAGCTTTTCTAGCAGCTGAGACAACAACCCTGCCCGGATGTGAAGCATCTCAAGGGAGGTCAGCCCCGGCCACCTACGCGTCTGCGTCCTGTGTGCCTGTGGGCTCTGGGCAGGCGCTGCTGCCTGGCTTATGGAGTGGTCCCCGCAGTCGCAGTCTTGGACTTCCAGGCTGTTGGGACTGGCAGTGTCCATGTAGACACTGGCCGGTCAGATCCCTGCTCTACACAAGAGGAAACAGGGCCCAGAGAGAAGGGACTCAACCGAGGTCACCCAGTGGGAGTGTGGGCCTGCTGGGCCCAAGTCTCCGTGCCCTGATCCACTCATTCCTCCGTGAGATCTTGACCTTGTCACGTCAGATTCCCCACCCTTCTCAGCAATGCCGAAACCGATTGGTTACTTTAGCTCACTTTTTAACAGTGTATGTTCTTTTTGATGCAAAATACCTGCTTGAAAAAAACAAAACAAACAAAAACAGAAATAAAGCTCCCCCGGGTTGAATGTACATCCCAAGCTAAGAGAAACATTGTCTGGGTACTTGGCCCTAGATTTCTGGATTTTGTGAACCACAAAATCCCTGCCCAGGCTTCGGAGGCCAGCACAGCTCTTCATGTTGCTAAGTGGGGGCATTTCTAACCTGCTACTTGCGCTCACCATCATTTCATACTAACATATGAATGCACCACAATAAAAAGAGAGTCCTTGAAACCCAGAGCACGGAGCTTCTTGGAGCGCTCATGACGCGGTGTATTGCACATTCTCTATGAACCAGCGAGAAGTTTCAGCAGCAATTGGGCTTCTGGGGGTGGAGGATGGGTGACAGTTTTGCAGTATTTTGACTGATACCATCATCCCATCTGGACACCACACGGAGAGGCCAAATCAGAGGCAAGAAAGGCATCTTTCCCTTCCCTCGTCACCTTTGCCACAGCAAGAGTCCCCTCTTGAGACAGACCTACGTCCATAGCCTTAGAAGCATCTGCTCAATGTAAGGAGGAGACACACCCTCCCCCCAAGGGACAGCGACATCACGGCATGGGTCACGGGTCATCTTTCTTCAGTGTGTGGAGGCACGCCCAGCAGTGTGCCAGCCCTCCACGGGGCTCAGCGTGCCTTACTCACGGGGCTCAGTCTTGGTCCTGAGGGTCCCCTATTCAATAGTGGGATGTGCTGGGCAGAAGGGGGTCTCGGCGGCCAGATCCATGACAATAAGTCTTTTCTGTGGCGTCCTCATTTGGGTTGGGGTAGGGGGAGTCTCATCACTCAAGCTGCCTTCTTCTGAGAAGCCTACCTGTCAGATACCCCGCTGAACCTGGTGGCCACCTCGTAGCTACGGCAGGGGCTTGAGGGTGGGGCAGGTCGTTGGGCCCACATCAGGTCAAAAATGCATTCCAGGCTCCAGAAATGCATACTTGCTTCGCTGTTCACATCATCCAATGAGCTACAGAACACTTTCCACAAGTCAAACCCACCTTCTAAGACCGAAGATTCCCCCAGTCACCCCCACACTGAGGGCATTCCCAAAGAGGTGGCCAAAAGTGTGCCACCCTGGCTGGCCTCCCAGAATCTAGGCACATGGTCGCACAACACTGGGCATTCACTGTGGCCACTCAGTTGCTGTTCCTGGGAGCCCCACACCCAGGTCTGTTCACCCCTGGGCCCCCATGCCAGTCCAAGGTCGGGTCAGGAAGTCCAAAGACACTTGACTCCCAGCAAGTTCACCCATATGGTTCTCATTTTCCGAAGACCCACTTCCCTTTTGACTTTTAGGAAGCTTAAAAGGTGGGGGACAAAGCAAAAACCTGTCTGCTCCCCAGAATCCGGGCTCTCTGCTCTCCCTCCTGCCTTTCCTGTGGCCCCTCCCCTCTTTTATTTTTCATTTTTTAATATATTTTTATTTCAGAGAGGAAGGGAGAGGGAGGGAGAGAGAGAGAGACATCAATGATGAGAGAGAATCATTGATTGCCTGCCTCCTGCACGTCCCACACTGGGGATGGAGCCCACAACCCAGGCATGTGCCCTGACCAGGAATTGAACCTCCTGGTTCATAGGTTGATGCTCAACCACTGAGCGACACCAGCCTCTTTTTAAATCCATTCTTCCACCAAGGCTTCCCTTGGGTGCCCCTCAATCACTTGGATGATCGTAGAAGAAGTATGATGGCCACACCTTCCGGCAGGGCAGGGCAGGCTGGCAGGGTGAGGTGCAGGGTAAACGAAGGACAGGCCCAGGGAAGGGCTCCTGTCCCCCTGTGGTGCCACAGGGAGCCTTGTTTCTAATAGGAGCGTGTCATATCCCTCAGGTGTGTTGGGGCGGAAAAAAAGGTTGAGACCCACTGACCTAGGATAACAAAGTATTGCAGACACAGGTATTTGATGAGTGGCTTGCCATGAGCTTAATGTGAATGCAAATGACTAAACGTTTGCAGTGTGCCTGGTTGTTAACCACCCGCCCTCCCAGTCTTCTGAGCGCTAATCAATTTGCTCAGCAAAACCCTCTCTTGGTGGATGACACAGAGGCTGGCCTGGGCCACGGCCACAGCCATGGCCATGGCCCCGCCAGGGAGCTGGGCGACCTAGATGAGGCTTTGCTGTCACGATATGTGCCCAGTGTGGTCCCTGTCCTTGCCCAGCCCCACCCCCGTGCGCTAGCCCGGACAACAGTGCAAGCCAAACTTTATCTCATTTTCTCTCCCACAGATGGAGGTAGTGAGTACCTTCAAGAGAAGCGGTTCATTTCAGGGTGCCGTGCGCCGGCGGTCTTCGGTCCTCAGCCAGCTCCATGACGTAACCAATCTTTCTACCCCTACTCACGTAATTCTCTCTGCTGCCAATCCCACCAGTGCCGCTGGGAGTGAGTCTTGAGTCCCCTTTTCTCTCATAAATGGCATCTCTGGGGGAGAAAAAGCCTCTCCAGCTCTTCCTTCTCTTTTTTCCAGTCTTGCATCCTCCGCTCACCGTGGCTTTTCCGTTCTTTCTTTACTGCCCTGTCCAGTCCTTCCCGCCCAGATGGTGTGTCTCGCCAAAGCCATATTCTCTTATGAAATGTACTGAATCCATGGCACTGCTGGACCTTCTGTCCTTTTGTTTGGTTTTTTTGGTTTGCATTTAGTGCTCCTTCTGTCATTGGTTTTCTTTTCTTGAACTCGTCTGCACTTGCCGACGGTTCTTCATGAATTTGGGCTGCTTCTGGTGGTGTCTGGTGTCAGGGGTGGAGGGGGCACCTCGGTCGGTGTTCGGTGGGGCAGCAAAAGGGAGGCAAGCAGGCTCAGGGTCACCTTCCAGGGCTGGAGGGGAAGGCAGGTGCCTTTGGGGCATCACTGGCAACGGAAGAATCCAGCCCTCCCATTGGGGACTAAAGTGTCAGCTTCCAGAACTTTCCTTGAGGTGGTTTCCAAAGGCACCAGGCCTGATGTGAGCTTCAGGGGGCCTCTTCCACGTGTTCCTAGATGGGCTTGGCGGTGGCCAGCTGCTCCTGCTCGGGTGCTACCTGCCCCGTAGGCCCTGCCCTGAGCCCTCCCCACCCGGGGGTTAGAGGTGCCTGAGGCCTACCATGAGCTGGAGCCTTCCTCACACCCCCAGCCTGCACTTTACATTCCCGTCGGTTCCCAATGTACCATCACTCTTTCCAAACAGGCCTGGGCATGGGCAGGTCTTAACCCGATCTGGTCCACCCTTTCTCCTTCTCCCTTTGAGAAACTGGGAGAAATCAACTCCCTTCTATATGGTCCGTGTTTCTGCCATGTCCGTCACATTTCCAGAGAACCCAGGGGCTGGCCTGGAGAGGTAGAAACTTCCCTAACTACTCACATCTTTTCACAAAGACAAAGGGTGAGCCACTAGGCCATGGAACCCGCCAGCCCAGGGAACGGTGTGGGCCCCCTGCTCCCACCCAGAGCCTCCTGCTTCTTGTAACAAACTGGAGATTTTCCAAAACCGAACAGTAAACCTTCGAGTATGAGCCCAGAGCCCCTGCCGGGATGGTTCGATGCTTCCTCTTTCCTTTCCTTCCAGTGAGACCAGCAGCTCTCCCCCGGTGAACACACCACTTGCCCGCAGACGGGACCATTAACCACGCCGTTTTCCCCACCGGACCCTGGGATTTCCTTTTGCTTGATTTCATCTCTTTCCCTTGTTTCCTTTGTCGTGTCTTGTCCTTTTTCCTTTTCTTTTCTTCTTCTTTTATTTTTATTTTTTTTTAGGAACTGGTGAGAGGTCCCAGTGGGGGGGGCATCCCTCCTCTTGCTAAAGCTGTCATTTCAGGCCACGCTGCCCTTTAAGGAAGGGATGTGCGCCGTCCCGGTCCCCGCCGGGCCACCTTGTCCCCTCTGGAAACACACACATCCCTTCTCCAAACCACAGGCACACGCTCGTCCATCTCCCCTCTCACACTCGCTGGGCCACCCACCTGGGCCCCAGCTAGTGGCCAACAGATGTCACAGGTGAACTAAAAAGCTGTGGCCTCATCCCAGAGGGACCCAGCCACCACTCGACCCAGACAGTTAAGGACAGGAGTGGTCACGGCCTCCTGAGACTCAGCAAGCCCCGGCTGGGCAGCACCTTCCTTCCTGGGAACAAGGGGACCCGAGGGGACGTGGGTCTGCCTGAGGGACACACGCTGATGTACACCTGTCCATCCCCCCCCCCCAGCCCTTGACTTCCTCCACATGCCCCTTTGCCATCTCTCTCTGCCCTTTCTGTCTATCCATCTGCCTGTCTGTTGCCTTGTGAGGAAAGCAGCCAACACGGACCCCACTGTGCATGCCCCTGAGGCTCTCTCCATAGCGCTGGCCTTTTCCCACTAGTGCTCCAGCCCAGGCCTCCCCTCTGTGCTCCTGGCGAGGCCTGCTGGCTTTGGCTCCCTCTGAGTTCCTCCGGTTCACTCCCTGGGGGGGGCGGGGGGGGGGCAGCTTCTCTCCTCTTCCTCAGCTCCTAGTACCTTCTTTCCTTCTGCAGCCACCTATCCCCCACCCCCACCCCCATCTTCCCACTTCCAGGAGCCCAGCAGTGCCACCTCTCCCCCTGGTCATGTGGCCAGACGAAGGGCTGCTGTCCCTTCCACACCACGTGCCTCTGGGCAAGGAGCAGGTGGCAGGCCCCGCTGAGAGCTGAGCACCTCCTGTGACAGCAAGGGGGTCCCGATGTCCTGACTCACAAGGGTCAGCCTAAAAGGCTCACCCCAGTTAAGTGGCAGCACCTCAGAAAGAAAGGACCCCACTGTGGAGAGAGATGCTGGTTGGAAGACCAGGCAACACCGGGGGACGCACCTGTTTGTGGAAGCCACCGACCCAAACTGCTCCGTGCCATCGCCAGGTGGCAGATCGGTTTGGAACTCTGAACCGGCCCCCAGTCCGAGCTGCGAGGACCCCAGGAAATCACCAAAGCCAGCACCCTCCTCGGGGAAGGCCTAGCAGAGTTGGGGTTAGCCCAAGGCCATCGCCCTCTCTTGGAACTTGCCAGAAGGAAGGCAGGGTGCCAGCCACCACAGAGCTCCCAGCCTAGGCAAGAGGCAGCATTGTAGGAGGAGCGGTGGTCGCAGGTCAAAAGGTTTCCCCGAGGGAAACTCCCATTCTTGTGCAAAGGTTCCTGTCTTCCTTTCCCACCCCCCAGCCAGTCCACACTTGTCCCACATGCTGGGGCAAGTGTCTCCACACATCCGGGCCCCTGGGCCGACACCACTTCCGGTGGGAGCCTCAGGCTCTCCGAGAGCTGAAGGCCCAGTGCAGGGTGTGGACAAGGAGCCCGAGGGCCAGAGCAATCTGTTGCCTCAGGCCCCAGCACATAGTGCCAGTGCAGGGAGTATCTGGAGCTTGTCCTTGGAACTAGAGGGAGAGGGGCACTCCCTGGAGGGGTGACCAGGGGAGGCCAGAGAGGCTGTGAATCTTGGGACTCAGTGTATCCACATCCACACCTGCCCACCCTTCATATCCCCTGGGCACCCCACGCCTACGTGCACACGCGAAATCTTGCCCACTCGGGAGTCCCAACACCCTCCCTGCTCCCTCAGTGGCACACAATGACCTCTCAGTGGGGGGGGGGGGGAGCCTTGGCTGCCTCCCCCCCTACTCACTCAGCCATTTCTCCACCCTCCCTGGCCTGGGGGCCACTTCCCATCATGGCTGCTTTATTCTCAGCCCAGCGTGTAGCACCTTCCCCTACATAGCCACCGCCTCATCTCACGGGACCTCAGCTGTGGCCTTGAGGCCGGCCCACACCAGTGGGTCACGAGAGCATTCTTTAATAATAACCATTTTCAGTCTTTTTTTAAACCAAAGGAGTACGAAATCCTATCCCCTCTTGGTACATCAGTCACCCCTTTCCTGCCCCAATCACATTCCCCTAAGGTGTGGCCAGTGATGAGCGGCAAGTCCAGGCGCCGGATGGCTGCCTGCAGGTGTGAGTTGGCGCACGCAGACACACCCCGGCAGGCCCTCCCCGGCCACACATTCAAAGCCCCACCAACTTGCCCCATGGCCCTCCCATGCCAACAGGGAGCTGAGCCTGGCCCAGCCCTTCCTGAAGCCATGCCTGGGCCTCTATACTCGAACGTTTACTGTGACAGTGGTTCATGGCAGGGCTCCTGACCCGGCCTTGCCAAAGGGACAGGTGCCAGCAGTGAGTTTGCTAAGATGTGGCCAGAAGGGCTCCCTCAGGGCTCCTCAGTTCTGATTAACCGTGCCCCAAACAGATCACAGCAGTTGCTTAATTTTTTTAAATATATTTTTATTGATTTCAGAGAGGAAGGGAGAGGAGAGAGAGAAACATCAATGATGAGAGTGAATCATTGATTGGCTGCCTCCTGCACACCTCCCACTGGGAATCAAGCCCACAGCCCGAGCATGCACCCTGACCTGGAATCGAACCGTGACCTCCAGGTTCATAGGCCGATGCTCAACCACTGAGCCACGCCAGCCAGGCAGCAGTTGCTTTAGTTTCATTGGCTTTTGCAACCTTATGTCCAACTTGGCAAAGCCAGGCCAGGTGAGCCCCCGAGATTGCCTTGGACACACCCTTCTGGAGCCCCGAGGGAACACGCTCATCACACATACTCAAGGGTGGCCCTGTCACTGAGGCAGTCCCGTGGACGAAGAAGCCTTGCAAAGGAAAAGCAGCCTTGTTTGCTCCTTTCTCAGGAAGTTCATTGACGTACAGCCAGGTCTCCCCACTCGGGTTTCTGGGAATAGGGTATTGGCATTTTGTCTTGGCTATGGCACACTGGACATGGTCTCCACGCTAGAAACAGTACCAGCCCTGCCAGTCCCGAGCTTTCCTGCAACCACAGGCAAGGGCCTTCCAGGCAATTCCTAAAGCACGCGGCAGCTCGCAGCCTAGGCCAGACCCCGGAAGCCCTGCTCTGAGCCCTCCCCAGTAGGCACTTCTAGGCTGATTCCCAGGGCTGGGAGCCAGGGCCCAGGGAGCTCAGGAAGCTGATGCGAGGCCTTGCAGCTGGACATGGCCCGGATGAGAGGTGAGGCTGATTCCCTGAAAAGCCCGGGACTCGCCATGCGCGGGTCAGCTCAACGCAACATCCTGCTTCCATTGGCACACAAGCCTGCACACAGGCTAGGGTACAATCTCCACACAACTTTGGCTTGCCGACATCCACAAAGCTGTGTCTGTGATTGGTTTGGGTTCAATCCCTCAGGAAAGGGCCAGCTGTTTGAAGTTTGGATTTTCACGTTTCCTAATCCCATGGCGAGGATAGGGAACCCTCCCCCTGCTGCCCCTTCCATCATGGCCACATCGCCCCACACCTCTTTGTGTTGCGTTCAAGTCCAAGTCGTGGTTCATGCTCACACCTGCAGGGAGGGTCT